TAGCCTGTATATTATTAGTGGAATTATTTATATTAAGGATATGATTATTATTTGATTGTCGAGTTATCAATTAAACATGTGTTCATAGTTAGAATGATTTATGCATATAATAGCAGAGAGGTAAATATGTTGTGTAGGACCACATTACAAAACAATATACTAATTGTTGGATATGGCGGCCATTTAGGGCAGAGTTCTATTCTCGAAGTATGAAGTAGATGTATCTCTGTGTGCAGAAAAGTAGTAAATATGTGCTGTGCTGTGTGATAGTTGGTATATCTATAGATGCCTAGATTGTTCTGTCCTGGGGGATCACGTGGCTAAGTGGGTAAGACGCTAGCTCGCTAGCCTGGAGGTCGGGTGTTCGATCCCTGCATTGGCCGAGAAAGTTCATCCAGATTTTCCGGCGTGGTTCTCCCTTGTCAGTGATGCAGGACGGAGAGGCTGACAAGGAAAGCTGTCTAGTCGTTCGGATGGGACGAAAAACCGAGGTCCCGTGTACACATTGGCGTGCACGTAAAAGATCCCTTGACAGTTGGAATTCGATATAAGAGTAGGCCGTAGTGCCGCTGTCCGGGCAAAATTTCCCTCATAGCACACTGTATGGCGTATGCCCGTCTTCATTAGCCCAGGTTAGGAGCAGAACAGTAGGACGTTAAACCCCATTTCATTTCATTTTTGTTCTGTCCTGAGTTTAAATATGTATACTTCCTACAGAGAGAGAGAGAGATAGAGAGAGAGAGAGAGAGAGGTTTAACTCCACTCCACGCAAACTAGGGCATTTCGGGACTAACATAATGTTCAATTTCATTTCAATAATTTGCTTGGGCATAGGGGTCTTTAGCAGTTGGAGGACCAGGAGAAAAAACATGAGGTTGGATGGGCAACTCTACTCTTTGACATGTACAAGAGTGGAATCAAAACCATGTGTTAGTCCTGAAATGATCTAGTTTGTGTCGAGTGGACGTTAAACCCTATTTCTCTCTTTCTCTCTATTGGAGACGATAGATATATGAGATATACCGTTGTCAGCAATAGCCACCATCACCTGTGATTCTTGCTGAAATCTTTTGATGGGCCTCTGAAGGAAATGGCATCAATGACCCTTTCTGCAAATAGTTTAATTAGCTATTTGCTATTTTTCACTGTCTAAAAATTATACCACCAACCTTGAGAATTAAAAGGTGGCTAGGTGGTTAAGACGCTAGCTCGCTAGCCTGGAGGTCGGGTGTTCGATCCCTGCATTGGCCATGATAGTTCATGAGGATTTTCCGACGTGGTTTCCCCTTGGGCCCGTGTATACATTGGAATGCACGTAGAATATCCCTTGGCAGTTGGAATTCGATATAAGAATAGGTGATAGTGCCGCTGCCCAGGCAAAATTTCGCTCATAGCACACTGTATGGCGTATGCCCGCCTTCATTAGCCCAATATAGGAGCAGAACAGTAGGATGTTAAACTCCATTTCATTGAGAATTAAAGGTATTAGAGTAGAGTCTACAAAACAACCAAAAACATTAAAACACAGGAGTGGATATCAGTTGAGAGATGAGGGGTGAAAAATGTGACCTAATTGTTTGAGAAAAAGATTTGTGCAGTCTTTTGAATGAGAACCATGTTGCGAATGTTTGGTTGTAATTTTGGACTATTTGCTACTAGATACATCAAAAGCTTTCATCAAACACGGATAACAACAAAGAATATATTATGGCCATGTTTTCTACGACTGACAACTGACGCAGGGACTTGTTTTATTGCTTGTGTTATTGGATAAGTTATATCTTGTTAAAGCTGCTCTTCCGTCCAACCCGGGTCCACTCCGGGTTTTTTTATCTGGATCCTCTGGTTTCCTCCCACAGCTAAAGACCCATCAGAATTATTTAGATAAAATTTATACCATATGTTAGTCCCAAAATGACCTGGTTTGTGTCATATGGGCCGTTAAACCCCATTGCTCTATCTCTGTGTCAAAGCCGCTGATTGTCATTTGCATGTTTCAGACAATATCTACTTATGAAATGCTTAAACATACATTATTCAAGAGCTAAATCAGCCTATTGCAGGTCTTTATTTTGGCTTCAAATATTATATAAACTATTAATTAGACATTTATTAACATGACAAGACCATAATCAACTCTCAATGCTATCTGATGGGTCTGATTTTCAACAGATTTGGATCTGATCTGCGGTCCAACAGTGGTTGATGATTAACCGTAAAAATGGATAATTGAGACTTTGTTTATTATTGTAACAACTGTAATAGTGACAATCAAGGCTACAGTGTTATTGAAATGAGAATTTCTTGGCTCAGAGTGAAGTAATTGACTGAAATTTTCAGCATACTTCCTTTACATTATCTAGTTTTAACTATTAAAGCGAAAACTATCAGTTCTTTATCTAATCTTTCATAATGCTGCTTTAATTGTCGCTAAACTGTTCTCAAAATAATTATTAAATATTAGATATTAAATATTTGGGATCCTGAATAAATATAAGAATTGCTGAATTATCCCTTTAATCAAAACTGGGCAGGCACAAAAGGTATAAGTTCCAGGTTGTCGGAGTCCACAGAAATGAACATGTATGGTATTTAAGACACAAGATCTATATTGTTGAATTATCCCGTAAATGGGCGTCCTCGCTAGAGAGAAAGGGACATAATTTATAGGCGAGGCGGTACCACATGACCTCATTGTTTACCGTATAGCACAGTTTTCCTGTACATTCATTACGAACTCGTGTGTTGACAAACGTTAGTTTTTGTCGTTAATATGGAATTTAATACCGATATGGTCACACGGAAGCGAGTTTTTACTAGCGACACCTGGGAGGAATTCCTTCAGCGAGGACGCCCATTGGCTTTAATCAGGATTTTCTTAGGCAAAACTGGGAAGGCAAAAAAAAAAAGAAGCCGCAATGTTAAACTGTTGTTAAGGTCCACAATGTTAGGGGTCAACAGTCCCATGTATATCATACCAAAGGTCTGCTCTATAAATGAACATGTATTCACACCAGTCCCCCATAAATTGCACTATAACATTTTAGGGAGACATGGTGACCCATACTTTATAGAATGAACAGCCTTATAGTGAAGTTCTAGTTAACATGTTTAAATGTCACAAAAATTCTGTAGTTACATGTACACCCAGGTCAATGACATGGAAACATTAAAAACTTAAAAAAAAAAAAAGCATGTAAACATTAAAAACTTTAAATAAAAACGTCATCTTTGTAAAGTTTAGAAAATTGCTTTGTACATCCATTAGACTTAAATACTCTAGAATATGAAAAAGATGTCTACCTTTAAGAAAGTTGAATCAGACTGAATTCGGTCTTATTTTATGTGTGTTTGAATACTGCTGTAAGAATTAAAATTGTCAAATACATTTTTTTTAAAAGATTAATTTTACTTGAGGAGTACCTTACATTTGTTTGCTTGAAGTTTTTTAAATGATCTGTTCAAATGAGAAAATAGTTAAAATAAAATAAAGAGGGAGACAAACTGTTTAACAAACCCAGGTCATTTTGGGACTAAACTATGGTCTTTAGTAGTGGGAGGAAACCGGAGGACCGGGAGGAAAGCCATCGGGATAGGAAGGCAATTTACTCACGTACAGGCTTGGGGGGAAAAACTGTGCATAATGAATATTAGTTATATCTTAAAACTGGTTAGTGATTTGGCTTCAGATTTTCTGGTCCAACCCATTGCCCCAATTATCAAAATTGATGGGTGTTTTGTGCCTTAGACAGAGTATACATACTCTTTCAAATGTTTGTTGTACTTTTGTATCTGCCCGAAATGCTTAGTTGTAGAGCACTGACCTCTTTACCTCTTAGAATCCAGGTGAGAGATGATATTTCTAGCCCATTTATTTAGGGGGCTTTAGGGACATATTGGTCTGGACGTAAAAGAACCCTTGACAGTTGGAATTCCATGAAAGCTAAATAGAAATGCCACTGTTGAGGCAAAATTCTCCTACCTTGCATTACATACATATCTATTGAAATAAAAAAAAACCCCAGGTCATAATAAAGTATCAAAACGACCAAAGATTATTCTGTCGATGGGGCATTAAACCCATTCCATTCAGAAGTGTGAAATATACCAAAAATCTATTATAGTCCAGTCTGTTAAATATGGGTCAATATTAGGGTTGGACAGAAAGGTCAGGTAGGGTCAAACAGACAGAAAAAACAATAAAGTACAGTCATTGTGTATATTTTTATAAGAATAATGACTTTAGTAAGAAATAATATTTATATATAAATCATAGCATACATACCGACAGAGACACTAAACTAAAACGTATGTTCGAGTCATTTCTTTAACACCATATCGGACAATGTTGGTCAGATTCTGGTAGAAATAGTGTTGGTAGACGGACCATTTCCCAGTTAGGGAATCTGAAAGTTTTTGTGGACAGTGTTTAAATATGAAACACATTATTTCTGAAATCCAGGACAAACAATGGTTATTTATACCTACTCTTCTTTACTCTACGTATGTGTATTGACAAAACTATAACCTACATTATTTACCATTTACTATTCAAATACATGATGATCAAAACAATGATCTAAAACAATTCAGATACATTATCAAAATAATCATATAAAACAAATCGGATACATTATCAAAACAACATTATAAAAATAATTCAGATACATTATGAGAAGAACAATTAAATTATATTACCAAAACAATGATATAAAACAATTCAGATACATTATCAAAACAACAAAATAAACAATTCAGATATATGATCAAAACAACGATGTGTTAAGCTCGAGACCATTAAAAAACTTAAAATACAGACACTCGCACATGATTTGCAATGAAATATGTCACGCGGGTCAAAAATTTTAACTAGTGTAAATAATGTATGCTTGGCAGATTGCCCGTACCATTAATTGAAATAGTGGTACGCCAACATCAAAGTATGACGTCACATCTGTATTTTAATAATAAATAATATTATTTATTTTCTGTATTTTCAGATTCGGATGATTCTCGGAGTATTGATCTATTACAAGCAATAGGAATACCCAGTGAGAGTTCCGTCGATATAAAATATGCCACAGGCACTCAAGGTTACCCTTCCTTCGAACTCACACGAGGAGCCTTTATACGAAAATCGGCAGAAATTTATTTTAGGGAGCCATTATTTAGAGACTTTGCTATTGGAATGTCAGTGAAATTAGCTGGTAGAGAAGGAGGATTTTTATTTGCGGTGGTGAATCCGTATCAAACTATTATATCCTTCGGTGTCAGCATTACCGCTGTTGAATCGGATAGTCAGAGACAAAATGTGGCGTTGTATTACACTCCTAATTCTAGATATCAGGAAGTGCCGATTGTTGCTGCTAACTTCACGATAGATTCTATTGCTGGTCGATGGGCGAAGTTAGCATTACGTGTTGAAGGTGACAGGATTACGTTATATGTGAATTGTAAGGAATATCAATCCGTAGACTATCGACGTCCAGTTCAACAGTTAGAAGTGGAGCCCGGATCATCGCTGTATATAGGTCAAGCAGGAGATAATTTCAGAGCAACACCTAATTTTGAGGTGAGTATTTGAGTCTATTCATCTCTATTAAAGTATCTCATTCCTTAATCAAAAACAGTCCCCACAAAAAAAAAATGAGATGAAATGAAATGAAATGAAATGAAATGGGGTTTTATAATATCCTACTGTTCTTCTCCGACTGGGCTAATGAAGACGGGCATAAAGTAACTATACAGTGTGCTGTGACCCACATTGCCACATTGATTTCTCATCCCATCCGGGCAACTATACGTTGTATTTTACCATGTACCCGTCCTGAACTACTGATAAGGGGGACAACTAACAAATATTGCATCCTTAAAATATGTTATAATGAATATGACCCCAGGCGAGACCTTACATAATGAACACATATTTTTTTACATCCTTGCTACAAGTGTAATTATAATATGTTTTATATTATGGGCAGGGTGTATATCTATATAAACAAGTTTTATTGCCTAATACATCTCACCTGTTTAGCTTAAATTACTTCCCGTAACTATTTCATTCATCAAATTAACACCTTTATCGAGTCATGTTGCTGTCACATTTAAAGTTATTTTGAGAATGTATTTTATTTGATATATGCGTATGTGGCAGCTACTTAAAAACTTCCCCCTCGTCTTCATTATGACTGGCATGGTTTCGAATCCCCGGTTGTACGTGACAAGGAGTAGGGTCGCCTGTCCAACCTCGTGGATTTTCTCTGGGTCCTCCGGTTTCCTCCCACTGCTAAAGACCCCTATGTGCAAGCACATTATTGAAATAAAAAAATTAAACCATATTTTAGTCCCAAAATGACCTAGTTTGTGTCGAGTGGACGTTAAACCCCATGTCTCTCTCTCTCTTTTTCATTAAGACTGGTTAATGTGGAAGAGTTAGAATTTATAAATTCCATTTTGTTGGATTTTGCATTTAACACCTTCATTACAATTATCAATTATATATGGATATATTAAACCAAATGTGTGTGTTTTTATTGGGTGGGGGGAGGGAGGGGGACTGGAGAACCTCACAAAATTCATTTATTTTGATTGTCTGTCCTTCGTGTTTAATCTGATTAAAACACAGATCCTATTTAGTTTCGTTTTATAGTTCAAAATTTCGTTTTACTTGTCTTTACTACACTAGGATCTGGACGCGTTGTTAATATTGACGTGTTCTGAATGATGTGAGCTATTAGCCAATGAAATGGTCTGTTACGGCGAGCTTTAGGCGTGTTTTGCAAGGAACTGTGGGTAATCCACTAGTAACATCAATGCTGATTGGTTAATCAAATGTCTGACATCATAGGGTCAAAAGCCGCTCGTATGACCTCTAGCGCGACCTATCACTACAACCGGTCAGATCTTCATGTAGTGTAGGCCATCGAAAGTATAAAAAAACGGAACGAAATATAGATCTGTATTTTAATCAGATTGGTTCGTGTTCAGACGAAAAAGTTACGATCACGAGTGTTTATAAACCAGTTTAACTCCTGTGTCTGCTAATTGTTATACCTCACAATGTAAAGATGTCAATGATGAGCGGGCCAGCTAGGCATAATATTTTACCCGTGCTCTTGTTTTTCTTACATTGTCTGACATTTTGAAAGAAACTCTGTCTGCATACTTTCTATCTGTACATAATTTGATCAACTATTTCTCTTACTTTTTATTACCTATAGAAATACGAAACTAAGATATCTATCTAACTAATAACAAATATTTTTACGTCTGCTGGTGCAATAAATCATCTGGCATTTTTTACACATTGTCTGCTCGCGTGGACCAAAATGAACTTATGCAAGCCAAGCATAATACGGTAAACACAAGATACGATAAGGAATTGTGAGTCTAAGAATAGTAACTCTTCTTTATTAATTGCATGATCTTTTGTGCAGTATTCTGCAGTTGCTGTGAAGTTAATGCAACTTTACGCAAACATATAAACTGGTTTTGTAAAATATCTGGATTATTTTAAATTTTAACATTTTGAATTTGTGGACCATGCATAGTAGTTAGAAAAATATTTTCTTTGAGGTAACTTTTGCTGTGGGTGCAGTATTAGAATATTATTAAAAAAATGAAATAAAATAAAGTGGGAAATAATGTCTTACGTTTCTGCACCAACCGGGCTAATGAAGAAAGGCATACGCCACCTGAACGTTGAGTAGGCTAGTCATAATGTGCCACTGGTGTACTATGAGGAAAACTTTGCCCGATTATGGCACAATGGCCTACTATTTTTTCGATTTCCAACTCTTAGGGGATTTTTAACATTTTGTCCCATCCGAACGACTAAGCCTGTTTTCTGGCAAGGGCCTCTGCATTACCAATAAGGAACAAGACTGGAAAAACCCAAGGGACTTTCTTGGCCAACACCAGTATAGAACCCAGAGAAAGTTTATTTGAGGACCCGGAGAAATCCCACGAGGTTGGACAGGCGACCGTACTGTTTGTCAAGTACAACCGGCGAATCGAGACCATGCCAGTTGACTCAATGACAAACCTTATAATACAGCGTGCATGTGCTAACCATCGCCCCCCCCCCCCCAAAAAAATAATTTTATAACAACCACTATTTTACAAGAACTATAATGGTGATATATATTCTGTATTTGATGATAAAATTGACAATTATGGATATTAGAAAAGTGGAGATCTACAACAACTGTCTCATTAATAGACTACAAAGTTAAATTCCCTTAAATATTTTCTTTCAGGTAACTTTTTTTGCAGGTGTAATTTTCCAATGGAATGTTAATGCATGAAACATATATATATATACTTGTATGTATATATATAGTGATTGATAAATTATATATCAGCCAATCTCTACAAAATGTTTCATGCAGGTATATTCCATTTGAATATTACACCTGCAAAAAAAGTTACCTTAGAGAAAATATTGAAGGGAATATTTATTCCATTTGAATATTACACCTGCAAAAAAAGTTACCTGATAGAAAATATTTTTCTAACTCTATATCTCACCTGAACACCATCCCTCTTTCATGGCACATGTAATATACATTCAATACGAATGCTGAGTCAGTTATGTACTGTTATCTGATGATACCATTTACTTACAAACCTATAAATTTTACTAATGAAAATGTTTGCCATTAAATTATACAAATCATCATAACTGTAAACTAATATTTAGAAGTGATTAGAAATTATACAGTAGTCATTAATTAGCAGGTGTGTAACTAGCTGTAATACTTGCTACTTGTAATGTGAAAGCATGACTAATTCTTTTCCACCACTGTTGAATACACAAACCCAACCAATAGGTGTATATCATTTAAGAGTGAGTGAGAGAGAGAGAGAGAGAGAGAGAGAGAGAGGTGGGGTTTGTTTAATGTCCACTAAACACAAAGAACATGTAGGTCATTTCAGGACCAACATATTGTTAAATTTTATTTCAATTATTCGCTTGCGTATAAAGGGTCTTTAGCAGTGGGAGGAAATGAGGGGACCCGGAGGAAATGAGGGCCCTACTCCTTGTCACCTACAAGCAGGGAATTGAAACCATGCCACTTGACTCAATGACAGACCTTCTGTTTCAACGCACATGTGTCACCCCCCCCCCCCCCAATCCTTTAAAAGATATGGTTTTAACACCTTAGTGACCTAACACCTACTTAATGACTAATGTCTGATTACTAACAATTTTAACTAACTAATAGACATTATGCATAGAAAACGATAGTACAATGCCTTGATCAATTCACAAACCTGACGCCTTAGTTTAACCCTTAACCGGTCGACGTCATTTTGACGTTATGACGTCAAGTGGTCAGGTTAAGTAAAGGCTGACGTAAAATATTTTGTATGCCTATTTCAACCGACTACTGCCGAATTATTATAAGTGATAGACTCTTGACACCAATAAAAAAGTTGCTGGGGATAAGTTGATCTATAATTTGCAAATCATTCTAAATCCTTTTCATCAGAAATATCGTCTTCAGAATCGGTGTCATCGATATAATCCGATTCGGAATAATTCATAAGTATTTCAACCACTTTGAGCATCTTTAACGTTCCCGACACCGTTAAATTACGTTTTTCGTCAAAAAATGTTGAACAAAGACATGGTTTTCTCAATGCACTTGACAAGACAAGTTCCTGTCTGACACGCATGCGTGGCCATATCAATTAAATACGAAACTAAATACTCAAATGTGGCTTATAAAAAAGGTTCTTGCTGTGGTCGACTTTAGCTGTATAACGTTGTCGACAATGACCGGTTAAGGGTTAAATGTGAAATAAAATGAAATGAAATAGGTTTTAACTTTATACTTTTATGCACCAACTTGGCTAATGAAGACGTTCATATGCCATGCATTGTCATATGAGGGACATTATGCCTGAAAAGCAGTGTTTCTGCCCAGGCTTCATCGATTTCCAACTGTCAAGGGTTCTTTTATTGACTTTCTCACCATTTCTTTGATACCAAGAATTTAAAATAATATTTGTATCTAGAAACTGAACTGTTTTGATATTAAAATATAACAATGTGGCCAAAGTATTCTTTAACATACCATAGAACTGACAGTACAGATAAGGGTTTGGCACAGGGGATGGGTGAGGGGGTGTTTGTAGATGGAGTTATGGTGGCAAGTTGGATCTCTGGCCATGTTTCCTTCAATAAAATACTTATTCCTGTGGGTACCAGCAAGAGGGTGTATGTATTGCCAAAAAAAAAAAAAAAAATGAGTGTACCTAAAATTAAAGTGTTGAAAGGTAATTGAAGGTAATAGAGAGTCATCAGGCTTTATTACCTGTAGAATTTGTGCTACAAAATGATCAACATTTCTTGTCAAAATGACCGACATCAAACTTAACTTAGATGATATCAGGAAAAATAACCTGCATCATTTATCCTTTAAAAGTTTTCTTAGTATTATCTAAAAGGATCAATGAACTTGTATAACTGACTGTTTATTTTATTGTATATTTTCAGGGAGCAATAGAAGAATTAAAAATTTATGGAAATCCAAATGAAGCGGAGGGAGATGATTGTAATTTTGTAAGTGTAGAAATTTATTCAGACATTTAATTTAAGGCTGATTAGATCAACTTGGAATAAAGGTCCAAAGTTGTTTTCAGAAGCCAATCTTCTTGTAGATATGGAAAGATTGGGTGATTTACTGTGGGCAAAATGTAAGATCTTGATTCGATGATACATGTAGAAAACTCATTGATTTCGTAATGTGCAGTAATGGTTTCTCATCAGATATCGACGGACAATACCTTCTTGTGTATAGTTATATCACCAAGATCCAGTTTCACAAAACATTTTCAGACTTAAGTTAAGAATTTAATCAACTTTCAATCACTGTTTATGAGAAATATCTTTGATCCAGAAACACAAAACTTTGCAGATAGTTTCTTATTGATGTATTTGATACATTAAAACAACAGAAGTTTTTGAGATGGCTATATTTTAGTTAAAATAAGAAGAACAATTTTGAGTAAATTCTTCTTAGTTTCTATATTGATGTATTTATGCATTAAAACAACAAAAGTTTTATAAAGGGCTATATTTTAGTTAAAATAAGGCAAACAATTTTGAGTAAATTCTTAACTTAAGTCTGAGAATGTTTGGTGAAACTGGGGTCAGATGGACTAATCCAGTTGGTAAGATCATAAGAATTCTACTCCTCTGCATGCAATCACAAATGTTATTAAAGGGAGATAACTCCATTATATGATGTCCAAACCAGCCTTGTATAATGTTTAAACCTGATGAAATTGTGTTTTGTAGGATTTTAGTGGATCAGGATCTGGACCAGATATAGAAATAGAACCAACATTATTTCCACAGTTTACTACTGTAAGTTTTAGATATTTATCTCCCTTGATTCTAGCCCAGCGTAATTAATTACTAAAAGAATCAGTGTGAATTAAGATGGACGCCTGTTGGAAGTCTTAAGATATCACATGAAAATATCACTGTTATTTTTGCTTAATCTAAGAGATTTACTTGGACAATTTCTGATTTCAAGAATATAGTTGTTAGTTTATGTATACTTCTATTAGATTGTCCATCTATGTCTGAGCATCCATAGGCGTACAGGGAAATTTTTTACTGGGGGGCGGTGGTGGTTGGTGCCCCAAAAATGTAGTTAGGTTCTTAGTATGTTACATAATAATCATAATATCTCTTTTGCGATGAATAAGTTCTTAATTTCTAATTCATCAATAAAAGAGAACTAAATTTTATTTACTTGTAATATACACAACTAAAAACAGTTGTTTATGTAACTGTAATTCGTGGCTTACTGTACTCCAAACAATAGAGGGTTCGAGTCTTAAGATTTCTATTTAATTGCCTAACTATAGACACTCTGAATTTAAATTCGCTGTTAAATTGGACGCATTCAAGAACACAATATTTTTTTATACAACTTTTACAAAGTACAATTGTGTGCCCAAATTTTCCCAGCATTTGGTGCCCAAAATGGGGGGGGGCTGCTGCCCCCCCAGCCCCCCCAGCTCGTACGCCTATGAGCATGGCCAACCTTTTACAAACCATGTGGCTGTATGTTCACACATAGATAAGCAAGACAACTCTTACATCTAGAGCCATGTAATATACAGGACACATGATTTACCTCATACACCTCGCAATGTTTCGTTTGATTAGAGCTAATCCCACTTAACACTGCTGTAATGGAAGCAAATTTCTGTTCCAAATTATGACTGGTCAATAATCCGATTAACAACCAAGAGCTAACTGCGTAACAATATCATTACACTTTAAACAGAGCTCCAAATTGGACCAAATATGTCCACAATTTCATTATGCCCAATGAACCAGTGCATAGCAGAATATTGCAGAAATACTAATTGCGTGACAAACCGCGCTGTCAAAACCGATACAATGTAAACAATACTGTTTGGTGACAAACAATACTTTCACCATTTTTAATACCTTAAATCACTGTCCAAAGTTTTAGGGAAGACCCCCAGATTAAACGAAGGGCTGACATGTTGCTGTACTTGGGATAGATTTGATTGAACAGGAAGAATAGACACACTCCCTCAAAAGCTCAAGTATCAGAAGCCAATCCAGCAATGGCCAGAGAGGGATTTCTCAGGCCATTGTTTCAGGAATATGGATTTACCTAACCTCAGAAATACATTGCCACTAGACGTACAGATCATGTTGTAGAAGTATCTGATGAATGGCATCCATGGTTTGCTAATTATACCTGATCTGCAGTAAAAATAGTTTTTATAGAATTTATTGGAATATGTTTCAAAACTATATTTTCATGTATTTCTAGGGTGTTCCAGTTAATCCTACACCTTTTGATAGAAACAGTTTTAAGGGCGACAAGGGAGATAAAGGTGATATTGGACCCCCTGGTTCCTATCGACCTCCACTTATTACACCTCCACCACCAGATCTAGCAGGACTTATTGGACCTAAAGGTATTATTCTTTTACCAAGAAAAATGTCTCATAAATAATCACAATCGTGACAAACACATCAATTATAGTATTGTTCATTTGTGAAGATGGTCCATTTACAGATATTGTCTAACACGGGAGATTTTATGTTAAATAGGGGCAAATGGATAATGCCTGAACGTTGCATCAGAAGATCTGTCATTGAGTCAACTGGCGTGGTTTCAAATCCCCGGTAGGAGTAGGGTCGCCTACCCAACCTCATGGGTTTTCTCTGGGTCCTCCAGTTTCCTCCCACTGCTAAAGACCTCTACGCACAAGCGAATTATTGAAATAAAATTGAACCTTGTGTTAGTCCAATTACGAATATTGCCTTAACATTGGTGTGTGCTATGAGGAAGAGTTTGACTGGACAGCTGCTGGGGGTGGTGGGTGGATAGGTGGCCGAATGCTTAACATGTGCCATTCCATTATAAGGTCTGCCATTTAGTCGAGGAGTAGGGTCGGCTGTCCAAACTCGTGTAGTTTTCTCCGGCGACTCCGGTTTCATCCCACTGCTAATGACCCTAATACGTATGCGAATTATTGAAATAAAATTGAACCTTGTTTTAGTCCCAAAATGATTTAATTTATGTCGAATGGATGTTAAACCAGATTTCTCTCTCACTTTGTCTTTTAATTCCGGGGATTTTATAATGTACAGGTGATAAAGGAGATATTGGTGAAGCTGGAAATCCAGGATTCCCAGGACAGAAAGGACAAAAGGGTGAAATGGGTGAATTAGGTGTGGCAGGTGTTGCTGGTGCTCGTGGTGAACGAGGAGAGAAAGGAGAAATCGGGTTAACCGGACCATCGGTAATTACCAAACTTTTAATATTTCCTCAATTTACGCCACATAAAAAATACTCTCAGATGTCTTGAAAATGCTGTATAACCTGTTTTTATGGAAAAAATAGAAAATAAGAGAATCCTCAAAAATTACATGTTGTTCACATTTTCTATATAAATGATAAAACAAAAGTAAAGACCTCCCACCTTCATCTTTTTATTTGTGTTTGGTCTGTTGCTGTTCTAATCCTTTTTATTGTTAGACTTTTGTTGATACTTTCTTTTATTGACTTTTTTTATTCAAACAAATTTCTTGCTCAGGCTATTTGAATAAGATTGGGGGACAGTCTTAGCCTATGCAGAAACCTTTGATTTATTGATTCTCTTGATCCTGCAAATGACCAATCACCATGGCTGAAACAACATTTCACACATTCAATTTTTTTTTCCAGTTTTAACGGCTAGATCTATTTGTTAAGGCCAATTTAATTTGCTTGAAGGTCGCTGAGATGTAAATAAGGTTAGGGCACTTGATTGTTGTTAACAAGATTGTCAGTTAGGGGAAACATAAGGTCTAGGGTTTGGGTTAGGGTTGGGATTAGTGCAGTGCTAGCCCCGTTTTACATCTCATGACCTTTGACCAAACTCGAAGTTGGTCTTATCAATTAGATCTAAACACTTTTTACAATCTTTAGATTTTAGTTAAGAGTGTTAGCAATGACTGCACTTCTGGGTTAAGACTAGTAAATGCTTCTAAATAGAATTATCTCCCTTGATGACAATTAGTCTTTGAATGGGAAAATTTACTTGAAAGTCTCTGAGGAAACTTTTGCCTTGGAATTAAATTCGAAAGATATTCTAGGGAGAATTATACATCTAATAACCCCAGGCTTCACAAGGATAAAGAATACAATTTTTAAACAATAAATTTAGGGGGAGACAACTCTCATTTTGGTGATTTTTAAGATATTGCCTAGTGCAGTAATGAAAAATACTCTGTAAATGTTTAATAGATGATGTTTGTTTGTGAAGTTCTTCAACAAGTTTTATGACACTGGATTAATATATATTTAATTATATTAGGTTAATTATAAATAGTTTTTTGTATGAGGCCTACTCATTCTAAATCTTGAATTAATTTGTTTATGACTGTATATTTTTAGGGTAAGCCAGGTATTGCTATTCAGGGTCCACCTGGTCCTGTTGGTCCTCCAGGGTTACCAGGGTCTATAGATATTATACCAGAATTAGAACGAGGAGAGAAGGGAGAAAGGGGCCTTCCAGGTTTACCAGGTGTTCCAGGTGATAGAGGTACAAATGGCTTACCAGGTGAAAAAGGATCAAAGGTAAGAACATTAATTACAATTTAGAATTAATCTATACTGGAATTTCTGAGGGAATCTTTCCATTATATTGTTGGAGCAGTGTTTTTGTCTATATAAAACGGTATTTTATTAAAATTACATTGGCGGTTTATCACTCATAAAAAGGCATAGCCAACTTCCCTGTCTTGTACGGCATGCATTCAGTCCATGTATTATAATGCCCATAATTATCATGTCTGTTATTTTCCGTTGTTGACAGCTATTTCGCGCAAAAAATCAACCATTTTACACATTTCGTAGTAAGCCATGCCTAATATGGTGGGCGAAGAATTCCATGCGACATTGAGATCGTGCCACTGTAAATGGGAATTTCTGTATAGAGTCTCAAAAGACTTGCTTTCCATACAGTTTTAATAGGCAGCAATTCAGCAGTGTGTTTAGCAGACAGTAAAAGTCAAACATATTATATAAATATAAATTGGATGAAACGACTACCGATTTTTCAAAATGTGAATCGGTTTGAGCCAGAAACCGAATCAACTACGACTAAACCGATTAATCGTGACAACCCTATAAATTATCAATTTATCAAGACTTTCTGTCTTTCTCTTTCATTGCCTCATATGATTTATTATGAACATCATTATTTGTATTATTTTGTTTTATTTCAGGGTGACAGTATAATTGGTCCTGGAGGTCCTCGAGGTTTAGTTGGTCCACCAGGGCCACCAGGTCCACCTGGATTAGCTATTGTTGATGTGGATGGAACTGGTTCTGGTGATATTGATGCTTTACCAGGTGAACCAGGGCTACCAGGTCCTGTGGGTCCCATGGGTCCAATTGGCCCTGTTGGCCCTGTGGGTCCACAAGGTTTGAAGGGATCACGTGGTCTACCCGGTGAACCAGGTCAGCCTGGTGAGTTTTATTCATTTTCTTCTTACATATGAATTTGTTTCTTCTTAATTATAGCCTGTACATGTATTTTAGATGCTTTTAATTAAATGATAGTGATGGGGCATCAAAGGTTTTAAGCTGTAATTTAGCGATCAAGTCTAGCTATTTTCTGTAGGTCAATGAAGAACGATAATTAGAACAAGAATTGCAGCTACGGTTGCCTAAAGGATTACAACTTTATATGGAGTATTTGTTTTTGTTTTAAGGCAAGCCAGGAAGTGGGTTTGAAATGAATATGACAGAAATGATTGGAGCAGATGGTAGAGATGGTTTACCAGGACCAGTTGGTGCTACAGGTCTACCTGTAAGTTATTAGATTTCAAATTTACCATTTAATAAAGGACCATTTTAAAAATAGAGAATCAACTATTTACTATTATTAAGTAGAGGAATATATTTTACATTACCATTTAATAAAGGGTCATTTTAAAAATAGAGAATCAGCTATATTAGTTTTTTGTTTTGTTACCTTGTTGTATATAATTTGATTTCTTGCTATTATACTGTCATTACTTACTTGAGAATGACAAGAGGAACTTGTTGAAACGTAGTGTGAAATAAACCCAGTGATTGTTTTCCATATAAATTTGCGTTTTATATAATACTATTAACTAGAGGAATATAGGCCTATTTTATGCTAGCATAATAGAGGAAACTATTTTCCATGTGCATTTAATATAGAACTATTTTAAAAATATAGAATCAGCTATATATTACTATTAACTAGAGGAATATAGGCCTATTTTACACTAGCATAATAGAGGAATATATTTTAGATGTGCAATTAATAAAGAACTATTTTATAACTAGAGAATCAACTATTTACTAATATTAAGTAGAGGACTGCATGTATATTTTACATAAAGAAATGTCCGAAATGTATATGTATATAGTTAATACTGACCTATATGTTGTCATAACTCCATCCCAGATTAGAGTTCTTGGTAGATGTTTTAGCAAATTTCAGAAGTATTACAGTGGATCTTTCGGAGTTATCTCCCTGTTTATATTCAAATTAAGAAATCTTATCAAGATTCATTTGAAAGGTTCACTTAAATGCTGATGTGCTCCTATAATTGAAAATTGCTAACATTTAATAAACCTTAAGTTGCCATTGTCAACCAATAACTTGGAGTGCCAATTGCCAAACCAATAATTTGTGTTAATGCTGGTGAACTTTGAGTTCTGATTGTCAAACCATGCGTAATTGTAAACATTAAGTAATAATAATATGATATTGTGGAATAAAAGATATTATTTTAACTTCTGTGCCTACCATAGGAGAAAGGTAATGTATCTGATGTCAAGTACATGTTGTTGTAGTGTATTTATTTTGTTTATCAAGGAGATAGAAATAGGGTATATTTCAATATTAAACCATTAGTGCATAGACTTCCCCAAACCATCCTAACTAGGTCTCTTAGACCACCCCAATCCGCCCTATCACATGAACAGCTGTGGCGCCTCAAAGAACTAGTATATAGTGTTATAATAAAGGGTAACAAGTAGAAAAATATGGAAAACCAACCCCAGACTGGCTACTCTACACTTTTGCACGTACATACATGAGATCAGAGCCCTGTTTCACGAAATTTTAACTAAAGATAAAATCCAAATTTTAGTAGATACTTCAATTTTGATTGGCTTAGCACTAAAATCATTCTAATATTATCCAATCAAATTACTAAAATTTGGATTTTATCTTAGTTAAAATTTCGTGAAACAGGCGTCAGGGCCCTTATTCACGAAAACTTAAACTAAGTTACAACCGAAATTTTAAGAAATACTGCAATTCGATTGGCTGACCAGTAAACCCCCACAAAACTTCACAATAGATTTGGCACTTGAAAGTGAATTGTCACGTTTCTGTATGAATTAAGTTTGTTCCTAGTGTAAACTTTTAATGTTGTAAATGTGAATGTTATATAGAAATATTGTCATTTGATTTAATAAGGTATTTGTAGCTATAATGTAGCGAATATTGTTTTTTGATTTAATCAAATAATCATGACCATAAAGTAGTGAGAGAAGGGTGTTTTAAAGTCAACTGGACACTAACCCAGTCATTTTAGGATTAATGGTACATGTAGTACTATCGGACTTCTTTCCTTGTTGTGTTTGTTTTCTTCGTGTTCGTAAAATATAACACGACAGGTTAAATAGTTCCTACAACTTTCTTGTTAAAGTTGGAGTAACTTGAAAGGTTCCTCCTTCTCAATAAATAATAGCTGCTTGGAATACCTGGGTGAGCTCTTGACCAGTCTCGCTCAACACCCTCTTTTATAACCTCCTAATTTCTGCACGTCTTAGATTAGCCTTGACGTTAATTTCCATCCCAAATATGGAATAAACCTCTTTATTTCTCAAGACCAGAGGGCGGAACATTACCTTATTTGGTCTACCAACCATAGTTCAATAAACATACATAATTTGATGGCTATTTTGACAATGGTTAGGATTTTACTAAAATATCACTGTTTTTTTATGTATAAATGCATATACACGTTCATTAAGTATGTGTGATTTGACTCTGTAGAAAGAGTGAAGCAACAATTTTTCCAAGAACCAATATTGTTTTAAGGACCAAAGTGCTACATACATTCAAATGTGTATGTAACTGTAACAGAGTTTACTGGTATAATGATAGGCTTATTAATTACAACAAGTTATTGTGGATTGCATTAATACATTGTTTATTTGGATGTAAAGTTTATAATGGGGGAAAGTGCTAATATTGTCAATAATTTTAAATAAATAAAATGTAAGCAAGATATGAAAAAAGGTAGATTCTCCAAAAATCATGGCTAACGATTCTTTGGACAAAATAGCCAGAGATACACAAAATATATTAAAATTAACTGGCTAGCACCGAAAACACTGTGATCTTGCTCACGATACTTAAATGCATATGATTTCCGATAAATCTGTGAAATATTGATTTATATTTTGACAGGGAGTACCTGGAGCTACTGGATCACCTGGTCCTGTTGGTCCACAAGGTATACGCGGAGAGCCTGTAAGTTTGTTATTTTATATATATAATAGTTTAGTTACCATTACCAGTAAGAACACTACTTCAGTCATTTTACATGGCCATTAATGATTATTATTATTAATATTATTTATTATTGTTATTACAGCATATTAATAGTGCGCCCTTTCATATAACATGTTCAGGGGCACTTTACAAAGTGACAATGTAATCATAAATAAACAACAAGATTATGAACATGTTAACGATTGTATACAGAGTCAGTTAAAAGCCTGATTAAATAAATGTGTTTTAAGTTGTTTTTTAAAAGAATATCGAGATGTACAACATCTTAAACTAAATGATTGGCAGTGATATGGACATTAATGTAACTTATGGCACAAATCTGAATAGCTGACTGCACTTTTGAACTTTTAGTTGTTTACCATGGGAAAATACCAATTATTTATTCTATATACCAAAACTCTTCTTTTTATCTTTACCAAAATCTTTTTCTCGTCTTCATTAGCACAGTTGGTGCAGAAAAGTAGGATGTTAAATCTCTGTTCATTTCCATAATCTTACGCTGTAGAACAAAAATTATTGAACTGTAGAATATAAAAGTGTCACAAAAAGAAACTCTGATGCGATATTCAAGACCATTTTTGGGAAGGAACCCCTGCTCCCTAAACGTTTACGATTTTGTGTTGTATATTATTAGGGATTACCAGGACCTCAAGGAGAACTGGGTGAACCTGGACCTAAAGGTGATCGAGGTAATGATGGTCGAGATGGCCGCGATGGAGCTAGAGGTATTCAGGGTATTGCTGGACCACCTGGTCCTCCTGGTCCAGCAGGTAGAGGAGATGGAGGAGGAGGTTTCTTTAACAGCGGTGATGGTGGAGATGTAAGTTATTTGATTTATATAGCTAAACTTTTTGTCTTGGACCCTATGAAAACTGGGGCTTCTCCTTGAAAACAGTTAGTACTGAAAAGGAAGATAAAACTGCTTTTAAAGCATCGCACATAGTACATTTTTGCCACATGTAATGGTTTAATAATGGTTGATATTTTGTTCTTGAAAATTTATGCCATAGTTAAATAGGAAGACAGATTCATCTCAGTACTAACATAATTAGAAAAAGTAGTTTCGAAAAGTTGAACATTCCAATTTGTGCAGTAGGCTAAGTTATGTATATTATTATCTTTGACCTTAGGGATCTGCTGATGGTGACTTTGGAATTGTTGGCCCAGTTGGACCTGCTGGTCCTGAAGGTCCAGCTGGTGTTCCTGGCTTAGATGGTTTACCTGGAGAACGTGGTGAGCGTGGACCGGCTGGGGAACGTGGTATGAAAGGCGAACGTGTATGTTTATTATTTTTTATTATGATCGATCTGATGGATTTTTATATATCCACATTTTTAACAATTTCTGATAATTATTGCTAGAATTATGGCCATTGAAGTCTTTGAAAATTATTGTGGTTGCTCTCAAGACCAAACTTATTATCCAATAAACTTTAAATTCATTTTATGGTAATGAGCTGACAAAATCTATTAATTTTCAACGAGTTCCAATAATTTCAACAGCTAAATTCATGACACAAGGAGAAGATACTAGGACTATCAGACAAAGGATGTATTGAAATGTATTGAAGTTTTGTAGACTGGTTAATTTAGAAGATTTATGTTATTATGCTTTCATTTTAATTTTATTAGGGATTTGAAGGTGAAACTGGACCTGTTGGGCCTAGAGGTGAAGCTGGTCTTCCTGGAACCCCTGGACCTCAAGGTCCAACTGGTGAACCTGGCCTTCCAGGACCTAGAGGATTTCAGGTAGGTGAAAATTGAATAATATCTCACTGCTATGGATCTGCTTTAGAATGGTTATATCCTTGTGCTAAATTAAAATTATTATACCGAAAAATTTAAATCAGCCATTGAGGAATGAGAAAGTGAATAAGAATATTTACAATACATAAGAAAATTTGGTACACTAGTCCAATCAATTCCAGATTCTGTTTTAGAATCTAAATGAATTATTTTTTTTTAGGGAGAGCGTGGTTTACCAGGCGTAGGAGAACGTGGCTTGACAGGTAATCCAGGACCCCGCGGGCTTCCTGGACCTCCTGGTGCTCTTGTTACAGTTGGTGGATCTGGTAGCTCTGGTGATGAAGTTGGACCTGTTGTTGCTGCTCCTGGACCAAAGGTATAGCTTGCTTTGTTTTGTCATTTAATCTGTAATACCATATTAAACAGATAGTTGTTACAACATGGGTTGTTCAAAATACAAATAGTAATAGATCTTGGAGGGTCTTCAAATACAATAACTGTTACAGGTATAAAAATACTTACGTTATGGATCATGATTCAAATACAATAATCTATTAGACAGTATGAAGTAAATACAAGAAAATAGTGAATGGACTTCTCAGAATAAAATATAAATAATACCAGATTGGTAGATTACTCACCCACTGCTGCACACTGTCACAACATTAACATTACAGATTATGACATACCAGGGAATAAATATCAAGCAAACATATTTGTCCTGATAGCACTTATAGATGTATTTTTAGTACTCCATGGTTCTTGCATTCTTTTCGTGTGGACAGTTTGTGTGTGACCACAATCAACCGTTCATGACCACAATCAACCGTTCATGACTGCAATCAACCGTTCATGACCACAATCAACCATTCATGACCTCAATTTGATGAAGTTGACTGGAAGCCACAGGGTTGTTTTACTTAGCTGAATCCCCAGAAACTTGTACTATGAATAGTGCTGGCATGATATATTGTTGAATCGATGTAACTGCTTTACCTTCTCCTGATTATTTTTTTTATGTTTTCTTTGTCGCTTCAGTAAATAACCTGTCACGCTTAATTATCCATGTCACGCATTATCCATAACTACACAAACACTCTTAAATTGTTTTGGTCCTTATTTTGATCCAAAACAATATTGTGTTATAAAACAGTTTTATTTCTGCGACATCGGCAGGACTAAAAATATCAATTATTTATTTATCCTGTTGTTTTCTTGGTATATATTGACATACGATGCGAATCGTATTGTAGCACCTGAATCACAATAATGTATCCTATTGTGAATGCAGTGGCAATAACCAGCACCAACTATGAACCCAAAAATATGTACTGTTAGCACTTACAGACATATTTTATATTTCAATAATGTCTAGAATTTGTTAAAATTAAGAAGCTTAGTCATGTCTCAATAAGAGTACATTATGAACTGTTAGCTATGTGAAGGATCCAATTCCAGATCAACCCTAAACATTATTTACTGAATTATGGAGAAGAGTAGCAATGCTTGATATATAGTAATCATTGATAATGTGTCATTTACTTTTACAGGGCGAACCAGGTGAACCAGGAATGGATGGTCTACCAGGTATTGATGGTATCCCTGGTGTTGATGGTGTATCTGGTATACCAGGTGCTCCAGGTGAACCTGGTTTAATAGGATTACAGGTAATTACTCTTTGTGTTGGTTTTGTATTTAGGGTTGCAGTGTGGACCATGTCTAGGTGCATTTCAATCACTGACACAGAACTACTGTATCATCTGCTCTTGTTTGTCATATCTTGTATCACCAACAATAGATGTGATTAAGTCCAATGTTCCTTTATGGTAAAACAATGGTCAAAGACAGACAAAAGATAATAGAAAGTAATATATTTCAAAAGTAGCATAAAAGTAATTATTTAGAGTTTAGATGAAACCATAGTGGAGGTCTCCAGTACATAGTCTTTTTTATAACCGTTGATTCATTAATTTATTAATTGTAGGGTATGAAGGGTGATACTGGTGATTTTGGACCTGTTGGACCAGTTGGTCCTCCTGGTCCTCCAGGTCAAGTTGTTTACACTGGTGGTGATAGTGGTAGACCCTATCCACCACAATTGGCAGTCAAGGTAAATACTTCATTTTAAATGTTATATTTTGGATGTTCATCAGTAATTTCAACAGTAGTCCAGACTGAAGGGCCTGGCAAGGAACGGTTTCTCGTTGTTTGGATGGGATTAAAAAACGGAGGTCCAAGGTACACATTAGTGTACATGTCAAAGAACACTTACAGTTGGAATTTGAAATAAGAGTCAGCCATAGCACCAAGTCACTGTCTGATCAGAATTTCCCTCATAGCACACTGCATGGCTTATGCCCATCTTCATTAGCCCAGTAGGAGCAGAACAATAAGATGTTAAACTTCATTTTACTTCATATCTGTAATTTCAAATCCAATAACGATTTTGCAATTTGTTTGGTATGCTTACCTTACCTTGACCTATATTGCTAATTCCCTGATCTTCACATTTCTATCGTAAACCACCCAAAGTTAAGTGAGTAGGACAGTCATGTTTGAAAAGGTACAAACTACAAACCTTCCAAATTGCATTATAGCACGGTTCCAACTTCGGTCTAGTTCTTTGGATGAGTTAAAAAGCCATGATCTCATCCACACAGCTGTATTTATCTTTAAATAAGTTTCTTATTGAGGAGTTAAATCCATTTTATTTCTTCCGTGATGATTTAAGACGCTGGCTTGCTACCCCTGAGGTTGGGTGTTCTATCCCTGCATTGACCGAGAAAGTTCATCCAGATTTTCCGCCATGGTTTCCCCTTGTCAGTGGTGCAAGACGGGGAGGGCCTGACAAGGACAGCTGTCTTGTTGTTTGGATAGGAAGAAAAAGTGAGGTCCCAAGTACACATTGGCATGCACGTAAAAGATACCTTGGCAGTTGGAATTCGATATAGGAGTAGGCCGTAGTGCCGCTGTCCGGGCAAAATTTCCCTCATAGCACACTGTATGGTGTATCCTGTCTTCATTAGCCCAGTTTGGAGCAGAACAGGCGGCCGTTAAACCCCATTTCATTTCATTTCTTTTCTTCCGTGATACAAATCAACCAATTTAGCGTCATAAATAAGATCTAATTTCATGTTTTAATTCATTATCTTTCAGGGTGAGAAGGGTGATAAGGGTGATGAAGGGTTAAGAGGGCCAATTGGACCACGTGGTTTCCCTGGTAGAATGGGAGAAATGGGAATGCCAGGATTCCCGGTAAGTGATTTACGATTAAACCTGCCCCTTGAGCGTCTGAATTACTAATATTTAATATCCACTATTAGTAATTTCACAACAATTTTTTGAGTTCTTCTGGAACATCTGTTCAAATTAGCTGCTTATTTGATGGCTTTTTGGGGAGAGAGAGTGTGGGAGGGTATAGTAATTTCAAAACAAAGTATTTGTTTGCACTTCTCAAAGGCTTTTAGTTCCACACTTTTGAAATTTTTAACAAAAAAATTGTATGCGGGACTCGGGTGGATATTTATCAAGACTCTGAATGAATACAAACTAAATTGTTTTAGCCTTTTGTCTGGTTATTGTATGGGGCGCCGTTTGTAAATTAATTATTTAGCTTTTTATATAGCAAAAAACACTAGATTTAATTAAAATTTATACATATAGTTAAATCTCGACTTTTGTGCAAATTGTTCACTTTTAATATTTAAACTAAAAATACAACAAAAACTCAATATTTAACATAATATATATAAATATTTCTTGATTTGTCTCTATTTTCATATTTAGCATTGAACATTAAGACCAAAACAAGAGATTTGATGATATATAAATATTTAGCTAAATATTTAGTTAAATGTTGAAACATTTAGCTAAATATATATTTAATTAAACATTTATATATTTAGTTAAACATTTATATATTTAGCTAAATAATATATTTAGCTAAATAATATATATTTAGCTAAATAATATATATTTAGCTAAATAATATATATTTGGCTAAATAATATATATTTGGCTAAATATTTATATATTTAACTAAATTATATATTTGATATTTAGCTAAATAACTATATATTTAGCTAAATAACTATATATTTAGCTAAATAATTATATATTTAGCTAAACATATAGTTAAATTTACAAAGCGCAACCGTACCACGCCAATTGTAAAATAATTATTGTTGTAAGCGACTTCACACTAAACGATTACGTAGTGTACTACTTTCCATTGACTGCACCACTCGGCAAACCTCGGCAGATTCCGGTACCCTACATCTAACCTCGGCTGTATGATAGTAATTGATATGTACCTATGCCCATACATTTGCGAAACGGCTACCGGTTTACTTTAACAGGAAAACAAGCCGCTTTTGCAAAAAAGTCCCAAAATGGCGTCTTTTGTCGAGTGTATATAACTAAACGAGCAGAGATATTGTCTCAAGGCTGCTGGTTTGATATAATTCCCTGGTAATTCCCCAAACCCAATGCCAAACTTGACGTTTGTTGATATAATACCCTCTCCACAGAAATCTCCATGGGCGCAGCCATTTTTCATCCGGGACCTTTAAAATAGTTCTAATATGGCGGAATTCGTCATACAGCCGAGATTAGATGCGTAGAATCTGTCGAGGTTTGCCGAATGTGACTGCACAACACAGTACTATCTGGTACCTGAACGCTCAGCTTAGTTCTTACACCCGTGATTCGGGTTACAAGTTCGTGGTCAGCTTCCATTTCTAATTGCTAGTAGGCCTATTGTGCCAAGGCTCATGTGTCGGGTACACGTCATCATTTTATGCACAGTTTTTTGTGTCGCTTACGATAATAGAAATATTGGCGGGACCACAAATATATATTTAGTTAAATATTTATACATTTAGCTAAACATATATATTTAGCATGATATTTATATATTTAGTTAACTGTTTATATATTTAACTAAATATATATATTTAGTTAAATTTTTATATATTTAGTTAAATGTTCATATATTTAACTAAATATATATTTAGCTAAATGTTTATATATTTAGCTAAATGCTTATATATTTAGCTAAATGCTTATATATTTGGCTAAATGTTTATATATTTAGCTAAATATCTAACTTTAGATTTTTCAGTGATTTAGTATTTAGCATTTATACCTACGAAAAACAGCACATTTAGCTATATATTTAACTAAGCGATGTGAAATCAAGATAAAACATTTAAAGTTTTTCATAGACCAAAAACTCGACTTTTAGCTACAATATTTTTTGATATTTACATATATGCCACTTTTGTTCTAATATTTATCTAAATATATATATTCGGAGTTAAATCTAATGTTTTTTGCTATAAAGAAAAATTAAATAATTATTTTACAAACGGCACCCCATATTATTGAAGCTATATAGTCGTTCTGATAAAACGAAAAACTGAGGTCCTGTGTACACATTGGCTTGCACGTAAAAGATCCCATGGCAGTTGGAATTCGATATATAAGAGTAGGCTGTAGCTCTGTTGTCTGGGGAAAATTCTCCTCCTAGCACACTGTATGGCATTTGCCGTATTCATTAGAATGTTAAGCCCCATTTCATTTCATTTTGTGTGTATCGTGCGGTGTGTATTCACACTTCAGTGATATTGCAATATTACAATAATGTCTAGTGTAGTGCGGTCCTCCTGCACATACATATGAAGATTTTTCTTTGATCTGTCCCTGCACGGAAAATTGTTTCATTAAAAATATTAAGGAATTGATGATAAAATTGTCTTATCTTATCTACAGGGCCGACCAGGTATACGAGGTCGTAAAGGTGAGCCAGGGATAGGTTTCAATGGACAGAAAGGTGTTAAGGGTGATGCTGGACCACCTGGACTATTCCCTGGAGGAGGAGGAGTTTTTATACCTGGACCTAAAGGTGACACTGTAAGTATATATTTTTCTTGGTTTTTGTCAAATATATACAAAGAGGGGTTTTGTCAGATTGTTATTCCTTCCTGGCACCTGGATGTTTTGAGTGAAGAAGGAGGGGGTAGTGGACACTATAAAAAAAGATAGTTTAATTAAATAGCAAATGAATGTCCTTTGGAGTAATTTAATTCAACTACTAGTGTTACTACTAGTATCCATGTTCTTTTGTCTTCTTAGGTTAATGCTTTAGCAATTGAACCATCCAAAACCACTCATAACAAGTGCTTATGAATAGTTGTGGCACCCTGAAGATCTATTATACAGTTCTATAATACAGAGATCTGGTCTCATACCTCTGGCCATTTAAGGTGGTCTGAGGAGCAGTAGGTTCAGGCTATTCATCCAAGGATATTCTGGTATGAACTATATCACTGTTCTCCGATTTTCGTCAGGGAATCATGGTAGTCATATGTACCTAATGCTAAAGGGTTACAAGGAGGAGAGTTTTGTCGTACATCAAATAAGAAATCATTAAGCACTGCATTTTGTCTCTTTTATTTTAGGGAAATAGTGGAACTCCTGGTACTCCTGGACGACCTGGCCCTCCTGGTCCTCCAGGTCCTGCTGGATTGTCAAGAGTAGATGACTCAGGACAGAGTATTGTTCTAGGTAAGGTAACACAATAATTGACAGAAAACAAAATAATCCACACCGTAACCTTATTTGAATGAACAAAAAAAAATTAAACAATTACCCCTCCAAGAACACCTAATAACATTTCTCATCTCTTGAATTTAATATATGTCTTCGACAACCACCTTGGTTTTTGGGATCAGAATTTTGACTCACTGCAATCTTTTGTATTTAATAAACAGCTGAAAAAGGTATGAAGGGTGAACCTGGTTTCCCAGGTAGAGATGGAAGGGATGGAGAACCTGGTAGAGAAGGTCGATTGGTAAGTGGATCTTTTTGACATGTAGGTCAATGTGGAGTATTAGACAAAGGTCTGACTTAGGCAGAAAAAAAATATAGACCTATACCTAAAAAAATACAGTAGTAGATCTGAGTAAACTTGTAATAGACACAAGATTCTATCGGTTAAATTGATTTTATATACCCTTTGAATGTTATATATTGTGTGTTCATCAGTAATATCAACCTTAGTGCAGAGTGAAGGTCATGGCAAGGAACGATTTGCTGTATATGTCAAAGAACACTTGACGGTTTGAATTTAAAATAAAGAGTCCACGATAGTGTCAAGTCACTGTCTGATCAAAATGTCCCTTATAGCACACCGCATGACTTATGTCTGTCTTCTTTAGCCAAGTCTGAGCAAAAAAAAGGACATTAAACCCCATTTTATTTCCAGTTTACCCAATATTTCATATTCTATTTACGTAGACTTTGTCTGTTCCCCTACCAGTATTAAATGTGCATTAGTTATAATTACCCAATAAAAAGATTTAATTTAAACATACATTATGCAAGAGCTAAATCTGCCTATTTCAGGTCTTTCTTTAGGCCTGAAATCTTATCTAAATTATTAATTAGACATTAATTAACCTATCCAGGCCATAATCAACTCTAGATGGCAGCGCTAGCCTGCAATCTTTAGTGGATTGTAAGCCGATTTACTCCATAACTTTCCTTCTCAATTAAACGATTAAATGGATAATCGAGACTATGCTGTTTATCGTACTGACTTTAGTAATGATGACCGAGGCTTATGGGAATTTCAGTCGCTTAGTTCTCGGTTCATAGTGGATCAATTTGAATGAAATTTTCACCAAATTGCCTTTACATTATCCAGTTTTTAACTATTATAGTGAGAACTGCCAACTTGTTACCGAATCTCCCATAATGTATCTTTAATGGAGAGATTTTGCGTGTGCATTAGTTATATTTTTGAGTGTAATCGTTTCTATTTACTTTTGGTCTCTGTGTTTTAATTGAAGATGTGTTTATGTCTTTAGGGACCTGTTGGACCTGAAGGTAGCCAGGGACAACGTGGTCTGCCTGGACCACCTGGACCAGCTGGCCTTCCAAGTTTCGGTAATAATTTTATAGAAGGAAGTACAGATGCTCAGTTTGTCCGAGGTCCTCCTGGTCCACCTGGTCCAGTTGGTCCACCTGGTGAAAGGGTAAGTTTATTGAACAAGATATTATACCCATGGTTTAGTTAACAGGTTTTTTTTTTCAGTTGGAGCAGAAAAGTAGGACGTTAAACCCCATTTCATTTCATTTCTGTTATCATTTTGTGTATTATATAATTATTTGTAATATTGACAAGAGACATTTTTAAAAAATCCAATATTCTGTTAGTTCTTACATGCTGATTATCAGTGTCATCAGTAATTTAACATGTTTGCACAGTTAACAACTTTTTCTTTAATATAATATTATCTTAAGGTTCTGAACATCTGAATCCTTAATCCCTTGCAAAACTACAATATTGTGATAGTTGATTCTGAGTTGAAAACATGGTTCAATATTTACAAAATGAATCGTAAATTAATCAATGTTCTACATCCTATGCAGGAGTTATAATCAAGACGTGGTTAAAAGCCAGCACACTTTTTAACCTTTGATACAATTCTCAGATGGGTTTCTTGCTAATGCGATTGAACCGAAGCTGGAAGATGATCTACCACTGATATTTTGATTTAGTTTCATTAATTCAAATGTTAAAAATTTGATATTTTCTAAAAATTGCAAATGACACAACAGAGGCATAAACATTAAATTGTGAATAATAAAAAAAAATGTTTTGTATTATTTTTATTATTATTAATTACATCTGATGAGAAAGTCAGTTTTATGAAGTTCGATAAATATAATTTCTCTCAAAAACTTCTTTTTCCCAATGCTTGCTTTCAAATTTTAGCATGTTGTATGCTGAATTGATAACTTAAAATTGTTCATTTATTATTTTCAGGGATTGAGAGGTCTTCCTGGTCTAGGTATAGAGGGGCCAAGAGGAAGACAGGGACCCGTTGGTCCTGCTGGTCCTCCCGGGCCACCTGGAATTGGTATTCCTGGTGCACGAGGCCCACCTGGTCCTCCTGGTAATGGTGGAGACGTTGTCATTGGAAGTGAACGTGACGACAGACGACGGGCTCAGTATTATCAAGGTCCTCCTGGTCCCCCAGGACCAACTGGTAAATGTGGATGTGATGGGGATAGCAGTAACAGAGGACATGTTGAAGGAGATCCATCAGCTATTAATAATGTAAGTTTTTTATCAGAAATTAAAATTTAAGCCAAAGCAATTTAATTTTTTATTCTTGGGGGTCTTGGTAAATAGTTAGCCACTTGAGTCCCTTGGCTTGTCCATTGTTTAAAATTTATTAACTTAGAACTAAAAGCCTTTTGAGAAGAACGACCACATTTGTTTTATTTTTAAATGATTTTTCCATTCATTGAATAAAAAATAATTTATTTTTTTCAGGGTGGTCCTGTTGTATTCCGTAATATGGATAGTCTATTAGAAGTATCTCATAATATGCCTGTTGGAACAATGGCCTACGTCATGGATCAGGAGTTTGTCTATTTAAGAGTAGAGAGAGGATGGAGGTACATTCAGGTGAGTTGGTGGCCATATGTACACGTTCAAGCCCATATTCAACACATTTCCCTGGGATAACAAAGTTAAGGTCCTACTACAGCAGGGCACATAAAGTATTGTATATATTTATATTATAAGGAGAAAACTAGTATTTTCATACTTCTACGTAAAAATCATTTAAAATCGCCAAAAATCATATAATTGGTACATGTATCCAGTTTAAAGCTGACCATTTAATTTTGATAATGAGTGTCCAGTTTATAAGAATATTTACCTGAATTTTTCTGTTGGGAAAAGAATTCTAAAACTTTCTATAAATGTTCTTTCAATTCATTTACAGTTAGGCCAGATGATTCCATTACCAAGTCCCACAACACCAGTAAGTAAAAGATTAAAGATTTTGTACTCTATTTGTTTGTTTCATTTCATTCTAAGGTTAATTAAATCCATGAATGTCTCTTTGTGACAACTGGATTGTTAGCATATATATCTTATGTATATCCTACCTATAATCCTATGTATATTCGTTATATCTTCCTCTCCTTTCTCTGTCATAGAAGTTAAAATATGCACTACCCCAATTCATTTTATAGGACTGCACAGAAAATATTGTATTATTTAGTGTCCTGATTTGTTAACTTCATACAGACATGCCTGAGTGTATTATATCAAATAGGAGGCAACGAGAGCATGGTAACACACCTGTAAAGCCACAAAAATACCTTGTGTATAAAAGCAGGGGACTATTAAAATGGGTCTGTCTGTCTGTCCATCACACGTATCAGGAGGGGGGGGGGGTTGGATGGCTGAATGGTTAGCGTGCGCGCGCTGTATCATAAATTCTGTCATTGAGTCGACTGGTGTGGTTTCGAATCCCCAGTTGTGCGTGACAAGGAGTAGGGTCGCCTGTCCAACCTCGTGGGTTTTCTCCGGGTCCTCCGGTTTCCTCCCACTGCTAAAGACCCCTATGCGCAAGCGAATTATTGAAATAAAATTAAACCATATGTTAGTCCCGAAATGACGTAGTTTGTGTCGAGTGGACGTTAAACCCCATTTCTCTCTCTCTATCTCACTTTTCAGGACACAATAATTCTGCTTCTAATTGAGCTAGAATTTTCAACCTTGGTGTAGGTGCTTATTAGGTGTATACCTAGACTGAGTTCCATGATGAGCATTTCCTGCTTAGGCTTAGCAGAGATACACAATTTGATTACTTTAAATTAAGTCAAGGTGATAAACTTGATGTATAGTTTCATTACATCAATATCTTGAATAAGTTTGATAATGAGCATTTTCTGGTCAGGTTAAGCAGAGTGATAAGCAGTTTGACTGGCCGAGACTTTGGAGCTTGACAACTTTGATTCTAATTAACTAAGTTCCATAATGAACATTTTCTGTGTCTATGTTTTGATTGCAACTGAGTGAGAGTGGTGAAACTTGGTGTATAGTTTCATTACATCAAACTCAGAGTATAGTTTCAGTACATCAATACCTTGACTAAGTTCAATGATGAGCAATTTGATTGGTCGACACTTCAGAGGTCAACAACTTCGATTCTAATTAAGTGTGAATGCACACGTTACGCACCGATAAATAAAATTAAGATGCTTTATAAAAAGATAAATATGTGTTATCTAATTAGTTTTTCAATTTGGCAGGGGACATCAGACTCACTGTTGGCTTGTTTTCTGATACAGAGTGGCTATTGTTACGGCGAGTCTGAGCCATGTTTAGAACGAATTCCAAAATGGCTGCCAATCTCCCCAACACCAGCTTTGAAAAAGGAGCAGTATTTTCAACGTTTTCAGAACTGAAGGCAGCAATTAAGACTATTTTTACGACTATTCAGTTTTTAACTTCGCCAATGGAGGGCTGTGAAAGCATCGTCGTAACAATAGCCTGAGGACTATTTTTATGACTCGTCATTACAATAGCCACTGCCTTTCTGATATTATGGGTAGTTTATTGCAGTATTAGCAGTAATTTATATAAATGTATTCTGCTATGAAATGAGCAGAATGTGTTACCCCATTTCTAAAGTAGCCCCCACCACCTGCTTTCAGAAGTCCTTGCAACAGATCTGTCAAGAATGAATGAGTTGGGCATTGCTAAGCATGTCAGAGCTGAATCGAAATTTATATATTTAAATCACATGTTTACTTTATGGTTCCGTGGCTAGCATGAACATATAAAATTTGATTACAATACCCAATTTTTTCTAATTGCTTTTATGATGCATTTGAGAACATATAAAGACATGAATTTGTTGCAAAGTGATAGATTTTAATCTGTCTAATTTATAATTTAGAAGCATGAACTGATTGAAAAGAATAACTGCAATGATTATAAGAACACAGATTATATTTGCTGAATTTTGTGGATTAATAAAATGAAATATCAAGGATTTGAAATAAAAAAATTTTCAACTAATAAATATTTAAACAAATCGTGTTATTTCATTCTGTATTAATCTTTTTATACATATAAATATATATAAATATATATATACACACATTTATTTGTTGGAAATTAATTTTTACCTTTTTTATTTATTTTTCTTATTATTTACACTACTTTTGTGCAATTTGAAATAATCACTTTTTTCTTTTTTCCATATTTTGTTTCTTTTTTATAATTTATTTGGTTTGTGTTTATTTCGAAAAATATTTATTCCTTCCCTCTTTAGGACCCACGGTATCGCAATCGCCCCAACGGGCATCGGCGCCCTTCACGACGACCTAATGATCAAGGTCGTACAGAATCTCCATTTCAACCATTGGTAAATCTTGCTTAAATTGTTTTCTATGTTTTGTTGGTATCTTTTTTTGTAATTTTTTTCATGTATTGCACCAATTTCTAAAACTTATTTCTAAACTAATAAAAGGTGTTTTTATAATTTGAAGATGGTAGAGATCTCTAGCAGTTGTTCAGAAAATAATTTCGGAGAAAACCTCTTTGGAATTTGTTAAACTTTAATATTCAGGAGTTTATTTTTTTAAAAAAAAAACACAAAAAAACCCCATACAGTTAATATATTCATCTTCAAATTATAAATGACCTTATAGGAAGATGTTCTTGACATCATGGGGTTTGGTCTCCTTCCATTTCTGATATTATTATCGAAATAATGATTTTATCACCATTTAGCTTTGAATGGCAGCGAGTTGACAGTTTTTGATCAGCCTTTTTGCTTCAACCAAAAACAGTACACAGTACTTTAGTTTGGCTTTAGAATCTCTGTTAAATATCTGATTTTTGTATTCATATTATATAATATTATAATGTGAAATTATCATGCTGATATAAAATGTTGTCTGCCTTTTCTTTCTTTTTTTCATATACTTTATTTTATTTTATTTTTTTTTTCATATAATTTTATTTTATTTTATTTTTCATTTTTTTATTCATATATTTTTATTTTTTTTATTTTTTCATATTTATTCATTTTTTGATAAAGCATAATATAATTAAAATAATTATATAAAGTGTACTCAGAATAGGAGTTGTTTTTACTGTGTCATAAAATGCATGTATTTTTGATTGCTGCAATTTCAATTTTTTATCCCCTATTTTTATTTCCTTTAGATTTGTGTTGATTTTTTGCATGTTTTGATTTTTTGACTCATTGATTAATTAAAAGATATTTAGTAATATTACTAACAACATCAGCACCAACATTGTTTCATCCATTTCCATATTTGATTAATTTAAATCTAGAAAGTGAGTCATGGTGTCTCAGGGATTAAGGTGCTGCTTCTCGAGATTTTCCATCTTGGTTTCTCCTAGCCAGTTGGAATTCGCAGAAGAGCTGCCGTTCACTGAAAATTACCCACATTGCATGGCATATGCTCGTCTTTATTAGCCCAGTTGGTGTGCAGAAAAGTAGAACGTTAAACCCCATTTCCATGTTGAATTTTTGTCTGAATTTATATATGTATTAAAATATTCTGATGTAAGTGGATAACAGGTAATTATGTTCATGAGAACATATTACTGAGTTAATAAGATTTACCATTATGGTAGTCATTTAAGAATTCAATGTACCGGTAACTCAAATTGTTACCTGAAAATGTAGTCCTCCATCGACGCGGCAACAAGGGATGGGGGAAAATGCAATTGATTTTATGAAGATAGGCATGTGATTTTAGGTCTGTTGTTCCATGTACATTGCAGATGGGATGAGAACTAGCATTCCATATGTATTTTGATTTGCCATAAATTGTGTTGCAATTTTCAATGCTTTTCTATCCAGGTGAAGTTTTGGTTGATATTATTTCTTTCTTGCTGTATTTGTTTATTTAAACTTTTATTTATAGCTCTGTTAATAGTTTAAAATGGCCTTAGAACTTGCTTAGTTTATATAATAGTATTCTTTTTAACAAATGCTTGAGAAAAATCATCATGTGTGGCTACAGAAAGAGAAACAGGAAATGATGCACTTGCTGTGTGAATAGGGACTGTTTCGGATTGGACATCTTTGTATAAACATTGTATACGACATAATACGTTGCTTTCAAGAAGGGGGGGGCGCGAATGGTTAACGTCTGCACGTTGCATCATAAGGTCTCTCATTGAAGCAAGTGGCGTGGTTTTGATTCCCCGCTTGTATATTACAAGGAATTGAGTCGCCTGTCCAACCAGCGTGAGTTTTCTCCGGGTCCTCCAGTTTCCACCCACTGCTAAAGATCCCTACTTGCAAGCGAATTAGTGAAATAACATTAAACTACAGGTTATTCCCACAATGACCTAGTTGGTGTTGAGTGGATGTTAAACCCTCTTTCTCTCTCTCTTTCTCTCTCTCTCTCTCTCTCGCTTCCCTGAACATGAGGGAGGGATGTATGAGTAGTCTAGCACTTTGGGTCAGTTATATATGCAAGTCATGTGTCTGAGTTTGGATGGGACACAAGAGTAGGTTCATGTAACCCAGTTCCAGTTCCTCCCCCCCCACCCAAAACTTCTAAAATTAGATCAGGCTGTGTAACATCATAGTGAACATGTTAAAACAGGTGACCAACAATATTCAACTGTATTGATCCAGTGTACGTAAAGTTATAGTTAAGAATAATTGTTATGGCAAGATGAAGTAGACTTCTTTGCAAAAAGTGTGAATGGGAGGGATCTTAGACCAAGTAAATAATAGGTTCTCTAGCATCGACAAACATTTTCAAGAGAACATTTTCTTCTCCCTTAAAGGCGCTAAATCTCTAATATTTGGGACCTAGAAATTGACACAAATGGGTCACAACGCTTATAATTATGTAATATGAATGTATATAAACTGATTTACAGTCAATCGTTTCCATTTTTACTCGAATTTCAAATCAGTTATGTTCGGCAAAGTCTTAATCGAATGGCAATCTCTAGCATTTGGTTAGTCCAGTCTACACCGATAGTATTTATTGCCTATGCTCTCCAGATAAGAATATGGCATCACCATTTGATATGACTTGTGGAATATGTCTAGCCTCGTTCTTCAAGTCCCTTGTTACAAATGGTGCTGAATGCATGATGGTACACGATTCGTGTACTAATGGTAAAATGTTTATTTTGTCTTAAATCTTTTCCTGGTAAGATCACAACATCAATGTTGATTTAAATTTGTAAATAATTCGTGTTTTCAATGTCAAAGACTTTGGATGATCTTGAATTAGAGACTTAGCAACTTTAAGATACAAAATAATGAGGATATTTGTACATCATAAATTAAATATGTCATATTTTTATGTCAAAAGTGTCAATAATTTCCACTTCATTATGCTCATTCTTCAGCTTCAAAAACATAAAATGATCATACATCAGCTTCAAAAACATAAAATGATCAGATATCTGTGCGTTTTATTTATTTGCTTTGCACGATCGCTTATAAAAATAACATACTCCAATTTGAAACTGATATCTCTTCAACAATGTAATTTTTATATGGATTTGATTCGAAATAAATGAGATTTGATTCAAAATAAGTGATAAACTAATTTATAAAATATTTCAAGTCATAATTTTCTGAAACAGTTCACTAAGATAACTGAATAACCAAACATAAATTTGAATATAACAATCAGAAAGTTAAATTTGTACTTTGTCCTATTTTGTTTTGTTTTTGGTTTCAGATTTGATTTGAGAAATGATTTGTTTTACTTGAATATATAATTATGATGTTTTATTTTTTATTATGTTTTTTAGACAACTACAAGCTCTCCAAGAGTTCCCATACTACCACCCCCGAGCATCACAGCTGGGCCAAAGGTAAAAATATTTCAGTGCAATTAAATTTAGTGATCGTTGATTATTACCATATTCAAATCAGTGATGGTTCATCAATATTACAACCAGGAGAGTGATGGTTGATTTATATTACAATCAGAACAATGATGGTAAACTTATCTCATAAACAGAACAATGATGGTTGGTAAATATCATACTCATACTCGGAACAATGATGTTTGATTTATCTCATAAACAGAGCAATGGGAGTTGATTTATGTTAGAATCAGAAAATGATGGTTGATTAGTATTAAAAATGATGGTTGATTTATCTCATAACCAGAACAATGATGGTTAATTAGTATAATACACAGAAAATGATGGTTGATTTATATTAGAAATATTAATATAATATTCAGAACAATGATAGTTGATAAATATTATATTCAGAACAATGTTGGTTGATATGACATCAGAACAATGAGGGTTGATTAAAATTACAATCAGAACAATGATGGTTGATTTATATTACAAAGATCAACATAATACTCAGAACAATGGTGGTTGATTAATATTATAATCAGAACAATGGTGGTTGATTAATATTATAACCAGAACAATGGTGGTTGATTAATATCATCAGAACAATGAGGGTTGATTAAAATTACAATCAGAACAATGATGGTTGATTTACATGATACTCAGAACACTGATTGTTGATTTACATGATACTCAGAACACTGATGGTTGATTAATTTTTTAAATAATTTTTCAAGAAATAATCAGAATAGTTAATTAATACTACTGTTAGAATTGATGTACATCATACTAATATTTGTACACATTCATTTCAGTTACATTTACTTGCTTTGAACCATCCAATGCCTGGTGACATGCATGGTATCAGAGGAGCAGATTATGAATGCCATCGACAAGCTAGAAGGGCTGGATTACGCGGTACCTACAGGGCTTTCTTATCAACTAAAACACAAAATCTAGATTCCATTATCTATTATAGTCTTGATAGAAAGATCCCAGTTGTGAATGCAAAGGTAAGTAGATATTTATGAGTAGTATCTAATCTATAATATTGTAGTTTTATGGTTGAGAGAATGACTTAAAGATACATTATGCAAGAGCTAAATCTGCCTATTGCAGGTCTTTCTTTGGGCCTGAAATGTTATCTAAATTATTAATTAGACATTAATTAACTTATCCAGACCATAATCAACTCTCGATGTCATGGCTAGCCTTCGATATCGACTGGATTAGAATCCTATATGCTGCAAACGCTCATTGATAATTAAATCAAAACAATGGATAATCGAGACTATGCTTTTTAACGTACAAACTTTAGTAATGATGAACGAGGCTAGGCGGGAATTTACAAAGCTGATATCTCGGTTCATAGTGGACCAATTTGACTGAAATTTTCAACAAATTACCTTTACATTATCTAGTTTTTAACTATTATAGCGAGAACTGTCAGCTCTTTATCTAATCTCCCATAATGTATCTTTAAGTAATGTATTGAAATAAACCATAGTAATTGTTATTCCATAAATGTGTGTTATTTGATTATGTTCCATTACTAAATGCCATTCAAAGAATGTGATCCAACAATATGTTTCCAAATAAAGATGATTTCTTTTGTTAATGATGTATTAACTGATAATGATTTTTATTATGTAGGATGAGATCATATTTAATTCCTGGGAAGACTTAGTAAATGGAGCAGGAGGTTATTTTAATAACAATTCAACGATATATTCATTTGATGGAAAAGATATTATGCATGACTCCGCTTGGTAAGACATTATTATTATTGAATTGACCTATTAATGCACAAAAGACTTTGTGTTTCTGTAAGTCTCTTGTGGTTTGGGTGAGGGGGTGGGTGGATGGCCGAATGGTTAGCATGTGCACATTGTATCATACAGTCTGTCATTGAGTCAACTGGCGGGGTTTCGATTCCCTGGTTATACGTGGCAAGGAGTAGGGTCGCCTATCCAACCTTGTGGGTTTTCTCCGGGTCTTCCGGTTTTCCCCCACTGCTAAAGACCCCTACACGCAAGCGAATTATTGAATTAAAAACTGAACCATGTGTTAGTCCCAAAATGATCTAGTTTGTGTCAAGTGGACATTAAACCCCATTTCATTTTCTCTATCTCTCTCCCTCTTTCTTTCTTGATCTTGAAGTATCACATTTCTCCATTTTCTATTTTCAGGCCACAGAAGATTATATGGCATGGATCGGACAGTCATGGTCAATTGATGTCTGACGATTACTGTCGTAGATGGCAATCTAATAGTAGAAACAGAATGGGATTAGGTAGCTCACTGATGAAAAATATGTTATTAGACAGTCAAAAATATGCTTGTAATAATGCTTTTATTGTTCTCTGTGTTGAAAATACTAGCCGTAGAAATCTACGATAAAACAGACATGAACTTTAGGTCTCTTTCTTCAGTTATAATAAAGAGTTGTCTTTTTGTCATCTATTTCTATTTTTTCTAAAAAAAAAAGGAGGAAAGGATTATTATAAAAGGAAAATGATCTTTACAAAGTTTGTGTATTTATAAGAAAGAAGAGGGAAAAAAAAGATGTAGGAAACAGTGATCTGATCTGATTTAAACTTCATTCTTTTTACTGTGTTTTTAATTTCTTGCCGTTACTTGTTTTGTCTTTCTTTTTGGTGAGTCTTTATTCTACCTTCTTTCATTCATTCGGTGGATGTCATGTGACTTTAATAATAGAGTGCTGTTGATCATGTGACAATGTATTTCAATCTTGTAGCGCTGTACAAGATGATGTGATCAAATGTGACAGTGCTATTCAAGTTCTGTAAAAATAAGGAAATGTGAATCAGTCATGTGACTCAGTCATGTGACTAGTAATGTGACCTTGTGTTATAAGTCATGTGATGATGTGATGTCATACTACGGATGTTTAAATGAGATTATTACTGTGATGTTGAATATTTTCGTTGCTTGTTTCATACTTTTGTGTAAGTGAAATGTTTTCGTAACTAACTGGATTGATGGATGGTAGCAGGATGGGGAGAAAATTGTGGGATGTACAGAGAAAGATGTTTAATAAGAACTATATATCAAGAACTGTATATCAACATATTAAAAAAAAAATCTAGTTTTAAGTCATTCTAAATTAACTTAAAATAGTAATTGAAATCTTTATATAGCATGTTTAATACACATTTTTATATATAACTGTATATATCCCTTACCACAGCTTTAAAACTAAATTCCCAGCCAGCATTAATGCTACGTTTAAAAAGTGCCTTGATTCGATTGATTTTATTATTATTTTTTTTTAAAATTGTACTAAATATAAACCTATACTAAGATTTAGCATTTATTAGTTCGGATAGTCATTCATTATAAGTCATAATAAGGCAGTTATTTTTCTAATCACTTTACTAATTGACAATTATTATTATGCAAAATAGCTTATTATAAAGTTTCTCAGAAATTTTTATATAGTCTTTTCATAAGGGAATTTACTTCATTATTTAATTTTTATATAGTTAAGTGTCCTTAGAAATGTTGTTTCGTGAATAATGCATTCAGTACTATTTTTATATAGCTAAGTGTCCTTAGATGTATATTTGCGAATAATGCATTTAATACAATTTAAATAGTATAAGTGTCCTTAGAAATGGTTATTTGCAGATAATCCACTAAATAAACAATTTTATACATGTATTGTTAAATGTCCTTAGAAATGTAAATTTGCAAATAATGCATTTGATACTATTTCGATATAGTTAATTAAGTGTCCTTAGAAATGTATATTCGCAAATAATGCATTGAATACAATTAGTGCAAACGAGATACATTGCCTGTGACGTATTTGACAAGAGAAATGCAAGTATAAATTCTACATTTTTATGCGTCAATTTTCTGTTATGAAGTGTAATTTATGTATTTGCTTATTTAAATGAAAAAACGATTTAGATTCCAATTTCTCATTTTTAGTCCTTTTTTTTAAAACCTAATTACTCTTTTCGTAGTAGACCAGGTGTCTTAATGAAATACAAAATTTGCTCTTTTTTTTATATTTTTGAAGTTTTTATTTTATTTTAGCAAAAAGAACAAAATATTAATTGTATATGAATTTAAGGGTTTTTTTTTTATCTTGTACTGTAATTAGACATGTTTTGAACATTATGTAACTACAATCCATGTAATAAAATAATCATGCCAAAAACATTTAGCTTGTAAATCGTTGATTACTAGGTACATGTACTTACATATTTTTATAGCATTGTTATTATAATACACGTCTGGTAGATGGAGTCTAATCCTATCTGTAGTGTACATTATTCTGTACAAGGGGTAGAATTTTATAGTCACATGGCAGTAGCCAAGTTTTAAAAATAAAAATTCTCAAAAATATGCTAGTTTCACATTGTGTGAACGGATCAATGGGTCCTGGGACATTTCACTGTCATGACCGGCATATATGGCCAAGCTGGACCCCATGTATACAACTTTACCTTAGCTGACCACAGTACTGTGATATCTTTTCGTAGTAAGTGATACTTGTTTCCATTTATCATCATACTATGAAATACATTTTTTTCAAATTTCACAGCTTAACTCAGTTACACACTGAATAGCACCCACCATTGTCCTATTACAGTGACACTTAGACTTGATCTACCAGTTGTACTGATTATCATATTGTCCTATTACAGTGACACTTAGACTTGATCTACCAGTTGTACTGATTATCATGTAACCACATTAGCAAGCTATCACGTGACACTGTGACATTTTAGAATGTTTTTATAAACTTGTAGATTTCTTTTATATTGTATCATATTCCCAATTAATATTTAATGTAAATTTTACGATAGAATATTTTCAATTGCCTGGTTGAGGTGAACACTGTTTAATAGTTAACAGGGTGTTTGTACATTGAGCTATACTGTAGACTTTTAAGAACTTAGGGATATGGATAGAGTCTTAAATATTTATATGCAGAATGGCTATCTGCCTCAAGCCAAGTAATGGTTAACCTGAAATGTGCATATAAAATAATGTTTAAAAGCTCATGCAAGTTTTATAATTTTTTCTAGGGATTTGTCACCCCCACCCCCTTCATGTTATCTAAAGTGGATACAGGTATAAACAATTTTGGAAATGACTTGCTTAAAATTATACGTAAGCTTCCGTAGAAATGATACTAGATAACTGATGAATTAAGATTTATTTTACGTGTTAGAATTATACATACGATTTTCTTACTTTGAAAAATAACCATGGGTATATGAAAAACAAAACATGTTCTTTTAAATTTAGATATTGTTTGAGTCTGTAATGAAAAAAACCCATTAAAAGTAAGATTCATTCAGCGTTTAAAGAATCAGGAGAAATTTAGTTTCTATAGGATTTTTGTACAGGAGTATGTTCTGTTTATTTTAATTTAATTTTTTTTTTTTTGCGTGTAAATTTTAATATTCAATTACCTTTGTGGTATATGTTCCAGTCTTTGGTATATGTGTTTTATTTTACATTATGATTAAGAGTTGATAAAAGCTAGGACTAGATTAAGGTATGGGTTCTAGGGCTACAGCCCAGGTGCCTCTGTCTTCTAGAGTATTTATTCGAGAATGCTGAATCAAAGTATAATGAATCTAAATTAGCTATTTTAAGATAGGGTTCAGTTAATACGATATTTGTAGTAAACATACTATGGCAAAACGAAACACTGTACTGCCTGTATACAAGGGTCGGTTGTTGGGTAAAATTTCCTAGATTCATAAAACATACCTATTGGGTGCCTAACAGTGCCTGTGGGCCTGCAAAATCATAATCTGGCTCTGTGAAGAGCTATATAGTTCTATTTGTTTAGGCTAGGAATTAAATAAAATATAAGAGTTTACGTTGCCACTTAGTCTGTCATTTAAGTTTCAGGTTAGTAATAGTTTTCAGCTACAATCAAACCTAAAAGCTCAGGAATTATCTTTCAATAGTTTAGCATAATTTGGATGCTCACAACAGATTGTCTCCAAAGATTTAGTTCAATTTTTTTTTGTCTTTCTGTAATAGCCTTATCCTGTATAAAAATAGCATTTATAAATAATATATGAAAAAATAAATATATTAGTTTGCTTTTATAAATAAAAAAAATTACAGATCAAACAGGATTCAGATGTTTCATTATTATCAATAAATTTCATTATTTAATATTAAAGGGAAAAACATCAATAAGAAATGCTTATTTGGACACATGAAAGAATTCTTTACTTGTATTTCTGTCACAAATAGTCCAATAAAAAGCTTGATTTGTAAAAGCAAACCGCACGTTTTAAAAGCCGTGTAAATACAGATTTCATTGTAAGATATTATCTAGCTTTATACAAAATCCAATGTTTTGATTAGCCAACTATATAGATGAATATGAATGAAATATATCATTTATTATATACTTTGCTATTATTTAACGGTGTAAATTAACTATTAAATATTGTGTATGTTTTTAGAAAAAGAACAAAGTGGAAAATAAAACCAAATTTTTTTTTATGGTGCTATTATAAGAATTAATATAATAACTATATTGTCTGTTGTTCTTTGGGGGGGTCACGGTGGCTAAGTGGGTAAGACGCTGGCTCGCTAGCCAGTAGGTTGGGGGTTCTATCGCTGCATTGGCCGAGAAAGTTCATCCAGATTTTCCGGCGTGGTTCCTCCTTGTCAGTGGGGGCCTGGCAAGGACAGCTCTCTAGTCATTCGGATGAGACGAAAAAACAGAGGTGGCGTGCACGTACAAGATCCCCTGACAGTTGAAATTCGATATAAGTGTAGGGCGTAGTGCCGCTGTCCGGGCAAAATGTCCCTCATAGCACACCGTATGGCGTATGCCCGCCTTCATTAGCCCAGTTCGGAGCAAAACAGTAGGGTTAGGGTTAGGGGGATTTAATCCAGTTATATGTGATTGAACTATCTTGGGATAAATACTGGTAGGTTGGATTACCTGGCATCAGAAAGAGAATCACAGTCTTGCAAAACGGGTGTTAAATTTCACTACTACTATGACTCAGATTTTAATTGCAATAACTGCGAAAGAAGTCCTGAGCAGTTTCTTGCAGGGGCATGCTTTAATTTATCTGGTTGTATAGATGACTTAAATATTGGGACAATATATGAAGTAAGAATGCTACGTTGTTATTACCCCAACGTTTAAGGTTTTGCTGGGTCACTGTAGCCAGGATAAGCATTGTCAGTTGCACCTTTTGAACACCCATAAAGCTTAGCGAGGGCGTAGCGAGCTTACTCCCAAAAAGTAAGTGCCCAGTGTATTAAATATTATCTGAAATTTTGTTTTCGCATACGGCGCTCGAATCATTATGTCATCATTCTTCAACTTCAGTGTGGTCATATAATCTCACGGCTATGGTGAACCACCCAGTTAGTAGTATCAATAGTGCTAATGCCGGCACGATACTGGATCTTGACCGATCTGGAAAATATCTTTCCATGTTTATACCCACAATTCTAACCCTAACCCTTCGGAATAGTTTTACCCACAATCCACCGTTTTTACAGCTTGATAGTTATCGTGCCATCTTGACACATGAAAGCAGAATTGATTAAAATATCAGTATGTCGGCTATTGCCATCCATAGTTGTCCAGATTGCACTCATTAGTCATTACCATAATATAAACTTATAGCTGGTCCGAGTTATGTAATGTCCCTTGTCTTAACCGTTTAACCTGGTATATGATACAATATACATGTAGCCAGATGCATAATTTCTTCGAACATCCTTTGTCTAGAAAGGGTTTATAAGCAGGAATGAAAAGCGGATAGGGGAGCTAGAGAAGGCCATGGGCGCCTTCGGTTAAGGCTACAATAAGGGCCGTGTAAGTTCGTTGGAATGGGGCGCCAGTCTCGAATCCAGGCCAGAGAGCCGAGCTGGAAACAAGGCTGCTACAAGACAAGGAACCTGGTGACTACGTATTATTTCAGACGTCTTGTACATGATATGTTTAAAGAAAAATAAAAGTATGATATGAAGTTTAAACCAGTGTTGTCATCCAGAACCGATTCATAGAACCGAAAGTGTAACACTTATAACATAATATAATGACAAATTAGTATTAAGTTTTAACTTGGAAAAATCTTTTTGACCTTACCTTGCGATTTTTCAGAGAAAAATCCCATGGCAAAGTGGACTAAAGAAAAGTGCAATTTGTTTTTGACATTTTTGTCCGTATCGCAGTTTTGATTTCTTCCCGGTAAACAAATATAAGAATAGAAAGAACTTCGAGCGGACCGAGCCAAATAAATATTTTCTAGAGATATATATATATATATAAATATACGTTTTTAAATAATAATGGGTATGTTCATGGTGCCTTTTGAGATTTTAGAACATTTTATATGAAATAATATATTGAAAAACAAGAGTAAGTTAATTGCCTATTTATGTGCCACAAAGGGTCAAGAAAAGTTAGTATATGAAAGCATATTGTATGTTTATGTATATAAACGACTAGCCGAGCGACGCGATGCGAAAGAACGTCTTAGAACAGTATTTCCAAATGATCACTCAACGACCTGAGCCATTTTTGATTGGTAATTAAAATCCCCCAAACCCGATAAAAACCCAATACTTTTCCCACAGTCCAGATCAGTTGGGTAAGAGTTGTATTATGATACCCCCCCCCCCAAAAAAAAAAGGATAAATAAATGAAGAATATGCCATTGTAAGTTTATAGAGAATTGAAAAATACTTTGATGGGGATACTATCGTTTTAATCCCGAGAAAAGTTGTTATTGTTGTGAAGGTATATTAACAAAACAAATTGTCAATAAAAAAGCGGGGGGATGGGGCACAAACCCACTCTGTATCCACCCCTGAGAGAAGAGAGAGAGAGGGGGGAGGGGGTCATTTTGGGACTAACATATGATTCAATTTTATTTCAATAATTCGCTTGCGGTGAGAGGAAACCGGAGGACCCTGCGAAAACCCATGGGATGAGGTTGGACAGGTGACCTTACTCCTTGTCGCGTATATCCGGGGAATCGAAAGCACGCCAGTTGATTCAAGTGACGAATGAATTGAATAATCCCTACAGTCGTTACAGTATCTGATATTATTTGACCAGTGGCTCGTGTGTAATCCATTCTTAGAAAATGTATCTCTTTGGCTTAGCGTATATATCTGGAAATGAAATGAAATATAACGTCCTACTGTTCTGCTCCTATACTGGGCTAATGAAAACGGGTATACGCCATACAGCGTGCAATGAGGGAAATTTTACCCGGGCAGCGGCATTACAGCCTACTCTTATATCGAATTCCAAGGGATCTTTTACGTGTACGCCAATGTATACACGGGTCCTCGGTTTTTCGTCCCATCCGAACGACTAGACAGCTGTCCTTGTCAGGCCCTCCGTTCTGCACCACTGACAAGGGGAAACCACGCCGTAAAATCCCGATAACCTTTTTCGGCCAGAGCCACCCGATTAGATTGTATTACATACTTCGAGAAGGTATTTGTTGAGTAATAAAACCTTCTAGTAGTTTATCGAGGGCTGGCCGTCCTTACCGCACGGTACAAATAAAACCTTCTAGTAGTTTATCGAGGTTCGGGTTCTTCCGGAGTCCAAAATGGCCGCTTTATATAAATGAGAATTTTGGGGATAACTAACCCGAACCCTAACCCTAACCCTTTTTAAAAGACTGAACTTCGGTCTAATTTAGTTTTTACTTCTCTTAAAAGGGTTAGGGTTATAGTTCGGATTAGTATTCCCCTAAATACTCATTTGTATCAAGCGGTCATTTTGGTATGAGTTCTGGCTTGTTCTGGAATTTGTTGCTTCTAGTGGTGATAATATTGTACCGTGCGGTAAGGACGGCCAGCCCTCAATAAACTACTAGAAGGTTTTATTACTCAACAAATGCCTTCTCGAAGTATGTATTAAAATCTAATCGGGTGCCAATGCAGGGATCGAAGACGCGACCTCCAGGCTAGCGAGCCAGCGTCTTACCCACGTAACGCCCCGGCGTATTTTGATGTTATGATCACGCCTTGATAGACCATAGAAATAACCCGTTTTCTATAATTCACATAGTGTTTGGTAGTATTCGCCCAGCATTTTATTTCAATACTAATTCTTTTTAATGGGGGGGGGGGGCATACCTAGAAGCGAGATTACTTTTATTTGTTTATGTTATTTTCATTGCCTATAACTGCCATTTGAGTGGTTTAAACAAACATTGAATAAATTTGTGTTGTCATTACCCCTAACAACGCAATAGCCAAAAAATCCCCTATTTTTTCCCGACGTAGATTAGAGAGACAAAAAACAAAGTTGGCCGTGAGCCACATCCGGGTCTGTGCATTGAGGGTTAAATTCCCATAAATTATACTTTAAACCATCGCAAATAAATTGTCAAGCTAAATAAATCGGTGTCAAGTATTATCTTTTTTCGAACAAATAACGACCAGGCTGTCACTGCTAAGGAAAGACACATAGGGATGTTAACGAAAACACTTAAGCAATTTCGGCTACAGTATGCCTGTATACCAAACCATGGGACGTTGAAAGTCCCTTACATAGCTCAATTATCACTTAAAGGAGCTAAATCGCTAATATTTGGGACCTAGAAATTGACAAAAATGGGTCGCAACGCATATAATAATGTAATATGAATGTATATAAACTGATTTACATTCAATCGTTTTTTGTTTTTACTGTAATTTTTAATCAGTTATGTTCGGCGAAATACACCAGAAATCCCATGTGAATGGCAATCTTTAGCGTCTGTTTTTTTTCCCAGTCTACACCGATTGTATTTATTGCGCATGCTCTCCAGATAAGAATATAGCGTCACCATTTGACATGACTTGTGGAATATGTCTATCCCTGTTATTTGAGTCCCTTGTTCCAAATGGCGCTGAAACGCATTATGTACCAATGGTAAAATGTTTATTTTGTCTTGAATATTGGATATCAGAAGCCCATCTTTTCCCTGTAAGATCACAAGACCAATGTTGATTTGAATTGACAAATAATTCGTGTTTTCAATGTCGAAGATTTTTGATAATATTGAGTTAGAGACTTGGCTACTTTAAATTTGCTAACTTGTATAATGAACCGTGTGTGTGCGAGTCCTGTACAGAGTCCAATCGTTACTTAAATTTGCTAACTTGTCTTCGTTATCCCGGTTGGTGTAGAACAGTAGGACGTTAAACTCTATTTCATTTTATTTTATTTATCAGAATTGTAACAATATGATGCTGATAGTATTTATAATTAACAGTGGCTGAAATATTTGTCATGCGGATGCCACACAATTCACATTTAATAATCATAAGTACAGCTACATTCTCCATCGTCCAAGAAAGGTCTAAATATTAAGGCTAACTGCATATTTCGTACAAGTCTCGAGATGAAAATTAGGTTAGGGCACGTGATTGTTGACGAGATTGTGGGCTAGGGCTGCTGTTATTGGTGGTGTTAGTTCTAGTTCTGTTTACATCTCGAGACCGTATTAAACATCTATGACAAGAATTCAGACACATTATTCAGCTTTATCACGTGTATTTGAGTAATGAATTGTTGTAAAATTAAGCCCTGTTGATTAGTGATTTGATAAATGATTTAACTTGCGCAATCTTTCTTTCGCGGTTTCTTAAACATTCGATGGTGCAAATCAAAATCAAATGACTCTTGATGTGCATCCAAAATATCGAAATTCTCTTGTGGGGGGTTGGATGGCCGAATGGTTAGCACGTGCGCGTGCTGTATCATAAGGCCTGTCATTGAGTCAACTGGCGTGGTTTCGAATCCCCGGCTGTACGTGACAAGGAGTAGGGTCCCCCGCTTCCCTCCAACTACTAAAGACCCCTACGCGCAAGCGAATTATTGAAATAAAATTAAACAACATGTTAGTCCTGAAATGACTTAGTTTGTGTCGAGTGGACGTTAAACTCTCTCCCTCTCTTCTCTCTCTCTCTCTCTCTCTCTCCCTCTTGTGGAACATCATTGCCAACATATCCACTATTGCGCACTAGTATTCTTGTAAAGAAGAGGACTTTAATATAAAATGGAACCGGTCGTGTTTTTAAACATGCCCTGTCTTGTATGATTGAAACCGGAGCGCAAAAGAAGAACGTGGAACTGCTTCCTGACATTTCAACAAAACAACATGGACACGTGTATAGCGGTAAAATATGACATACCTATTAACACCCAACAGCAACATATTTACACCAATTTTAAAGCAATTGGGGAAAAATTCAATGAAAAGCTATTCAAGGAAAGGTTCGTTCATTTACTATTAAATGCCATTACATTTTAAAACCGAAATGCACTCTTTAATATCATTTAGCGTGGATTTTGTTTCATACAAAGTCAATATCATTGGTTTATTTAATTGTAATTTAGCTAAAATGGATCCTTTAATATAATTGAACGATGGATTATATTTTATACAAAGTCAATATCGTTCTATATCATTTATTTGTACTTCAGCTTGCACGGCAAAGCACTTGTCATTGTCAATATATCCATTTTCCTCGTCCTCTAGCTCATTCCACTGTACAAACTTCCAGCCACAGCCTTGACCATCGGGTGCAAATGGATAAGTAGATTGTTTGACGACGAATTTATCTTCACTTTTATTTAAGAGGGTTAGCTTCAGACTGACATTGCAAGATTTAAAAGTCTTATCCACCACTGCATTCATTCGTAGGTAGATTCCCAGACAAGATTTATCAGTACGGTGCTTTACACGAACACACCATGGTAATCCTTGTATTATCACCACATCACTGTGGTAGGGCTTATCGGTCATCACTATCTCGTTTAAACTAAACCTGCAAGTGAATGTTCTAGACTCCAGCGTCTGTAACTCACCGAGTAACCCTTTTAAAGTTTCGACATCTACCCTTACCATAGGATAATGGACGTATCTTACCAGTGGGAAATCTAAGCTGGTTAATTTGCTGTCTTTAGTCAGTGTTTCTGCACTGGGTAAAATATCCAGAACAGGGAAGGTGGATTCGCCCCTTAACGCCTCCTCTATATACTTAACACCCGTCTGTAAGGAAGCTCTGTATTTGCCGATATCGTTCCGTAGCTTCTCAAGCGTGCCAGCTTCTGTATCACGTATTTCATTCATTTTGGTCTTAACATCGACTCCGTGTTTCTTAGCTTCGTCACAGACTTTTTGAACCTGCTGGTCAACAATATCACAGGCTATTCTAGCCTGATTCGTGATATCAGACACTTGATTGGATAAAGATTCTTCGTGTTTCTCGAGTTCGTATATCTTCCGTTCTAACTCTCCTTTTAAATTGCTCAACTTGGATCTGGCTTCTTGGTCTATTTCTGGTAGTTGCGTGTTGTTATGGTTTTTGTGATCCAATAAAGCGCAATGACTGCAAACAGCAACAGAACAATCACGGCAATAAAATTCTATTTCCTTTTTCTTGTGTATCTGGCAAAAATGAATTAGTGTCGTATCCGTTTTTTCAAGGTAGAAATTATTGGTAAACTTTTTAGCCCCTCCTCTAGGAATTGGAATTGGACTTCTGCACAAAGGACAATTAAACTTGTTAAAATGAGCATGTAAAGTTATATACCGGTCTAAGCACTCCTCACAAAACGTGTGGAAGCATGGAAGTATTTTAGGTTTGTTGAACTCCTCAAAACAGATCGAACAGTTATGGTTAGAATCCATCCTTAGAATTCACATTATTTATTTAAAAATAAATAGCTTTTAACTCTAATGGGAAACTCAGCTTATTCTAATTGTGTAAGTGTTCTCAATATTGGCAGGTATTCATTCAAGACAACGGAAAGCTATACTGGCGATATATCTCTCTGACGTGGAGGTTTGATAAGTATCGTTGTGATAACAAACTCAACAACATATATATACATTAATTACCTCTAAGGACAAATCAAAAATCACATATTTCGCTTTATGTCTCTTTCCATAAATAGATTTGGGTATATACTGTAATAAGTAACTATAAATAATGGATTAAGTGACATAAATTATAACATTTCAATTTTGCTGAAGATTTTCAGCGTGAAGCCTGTCATTACAGCCTGTCATTACAGGCCCAGAAATGTACAACGCAGTGGACGCTTACGATTCATTTTATTTAAACAATTCGCCTGCGCGTAGGGGTCTTTACAGTGGGAGGAAATCGGAGGACCCGGAGAAAATCCACGAGGTTAGACAGGCGACCCTACTCCTTGTCACGTACAACTGGGGAATCGAAACCACGCCAGTTGACTCAATGACTGACCTTATGATACAGCGCGCACGTGCTAACCATTCGGCCATCCAACCCCCGTCAAACGGTAACGTCATATTCTTATCTGGAGAGCATGCGCAATACATACTATCGGCGTAGAATGGAATAACCAGACGCTAGAGGCTGGCATTCGATTGAGACTTCTGGCGTATTTCGCCGAACATACCTGATTTGAGATTTGAAATTAGAGTGAAAATGGAAACAATTGAATGTAAATCAATTTATATACATTCATATTACATTATTGTATGCGTTTCGACCCATTTGTGTAAATTTCTAGGTCCCAAATATTAGTGAGTTAGCTCCTTTAACAAACTGTTATAAATTACAAAAGACAAATATTTACTCTCACCTAATTGAAAAAGCTATCTTGGATCCATTCACTTGATTTGATATAATTTTTTGTTTATTTCTTGCAATGTCTGTGTACTTGTGGAAAAGTCGGTAAGACGCTGGCCCACTAGCCTGGAAGTCGGGAGTTCGATCCCTGCATTGGCCGAGAAAGTTAATTCAGATTTTCCAGCGTGGTTTTCCCTTGTCAGTGATGCAGGATGGAGGGCCTGACAATGACAGGTGTTTAGTCGGTCGGATGGAAAGACAAACCGAGGTCCCGTGTACACATTGGCGTGCACGTAAAAGATCCCTTGGCAGTTGGAATTCGATATAAGAGTAGGCTGTAGCGTAGCAGCCCGGGCAAAATTTCCCTCATAGCACACTGTATGGCGTATGCCCGTCTTCATTAGCCCAGGTTAGGAGCAGAACAGTAGGACGTTAAACCCCATTTCATTTCATTTGTTTCTGTGTAGTTTGTCTTGTCCACGTGTTTATTTTGTCGGTATTGTTTTGCGTGTAGTGGCGTCCTCCTTCACTTGCTATTAGAGTAGAATTTTAGCCCTTCGTACTTCTACAGAATATTCTCGTTGTCGGGTTTTGGTCCTGTTTGCTGACGGGCGAATGGTTAGCACGTGCGCGCTGTATCTTAAGTTATATCACTGAGTCAAATGGCGTGGTTTCGATTCCCCGGTTGTACGTGACAAGGAGTGGGATCGCCTTCCAGCCTCGTGGGTATTCTCCGGATCCTCCGGTTCCCCTCACTGCTAAAGACGCGCAAGCGAATTATTGAACCATATGTTAGTTCCAAAATTACCTAGTTTGTGTCGAATGGACGTTAAACCCAATTCCTCGCCCTCTCTCTCTTCCCCTCTCTGTCTCACTACAGTTCTCAGCATTCTACCCGGATTACCGCCCCGATTGTTAAAATTGTTTGACGTTCTAACTCATGACGTCCACGTGGAAAATTCGCCATGCAAGAGACGACCGCCGCCAAATTCGCTCGCATTATTGCTGTTAATGTCTTTGGGGACCACGGTGGCTAAGTGAGTAAGACGTTGTTGGCCTGGTAACCTGGAGGTCTCGGGTTCGCTCTTAGAGTTGGCAGAGAAAGTTTATTGGGATTTATTGGCGTAGTTTCCCCTTGTCAGTAGTGCAGGACGGAAGGCGAAAAACCGAAGTCCCATGCCTACATTGGCTTGCACGTAAAGATCCCTTTGGCCGTTGGAATTCGATTCAAGAGTATGCCGGACACATGCGAGAAATATTTTTTTTTTGACACATGCCAGATTCGATTTAACGTTATATATATGAGCCATAACATGTCACTTGGTTAAGAAAAGAAATGAAATGAAATGGGGTTTAACGTCCTACTGTTCTGCTCCTAAACTGGGCTAATGAAGAAGGGCATACGCCATACAGTGTGCTATGAGGGAAATTTTGCCCGGGCAGCGGCACTATCGCCTACTCTTATATCGAATTCCAACTGCCAAGGGGTCTTTTACGTGCATTCCAATGTATACACGGGACCCCGGTTTTTCGTCTCATCCGAAGGACTAGACAGCTGTCCTTGTCAGGCCCTCCGTCCTGCATCACTGACAAGGGGGAACCACGCATTAAGTCATGAGGATCCGAATATGACCATAGTAAAGAAAAACAAGCATAAAAGGGGGTTGACATTTTTTTACAAAGGGGTACCCGCCAAGCTTCATTCGATTCTGTTCGCTAATGAGGGAATGGTAGAATTGAGAGTAAACTGACACAACCCCAAAAACTAGAAGGTGGTGATCAGGCTTTAGACACTAAGCCAGACCTAGAAAGTTACTGGCGACAGATTTAATGTCAGAGTGTTTGGGGTAACGTTTAGCGTAAAAAGAGGGCACAATGTTGCCAATGGTGTATTTGAGGTAACTCTGTCGAAATTCGAAGACACCTTTTCAGACAAGAGGACACATTTTCGGAAGGGACATAGCCATATACACCCTTATACTCTGGTAGGACATCTCATCGGATTCGAGCGTTATCAACCATGCCAGTGTCTTTTGGTTTTGCATTTACCTGTCTACCCGCCCAGTACGGACCTGTTAGCATGTATTAGCGTATATGCATACAACTATTTGCTACGGGTACGATTGGCGTAAAATCAACGTTTTCTTAATCCACGTTTAAAAGAACATTGTAAAAGGTTAACGAAATTCTCTCAGGTACTAAACAAACATCTTTCATTTTCAACAGAACAATGAATAAAATTTGGGATTAAAGTCCTACTTTTCTCTACCCACCGGGATAAATTAGAAGATTTAGACAGAGTATAATTAAATATTGTAGCCCAAAATGGATTCTGATTGGTCGAAAAGTGGCGTCGATTGAGTACAACAGTCCTCTAAATTTCCTGGGCGACTCACTGCGAATGGCCATTTTCTGGGTGCTAGACTCTGTCATTTGATCGTCAATAATATATAGTCGATGTAAAGATCATTGATTTAACCAAGGCCAAAACGTCTATTCATGTTTAGTAGGTGATAATTGAATCGAATAATCCCTGCTTACCTTACAATAACTCGCATTATAGTTGACTAATGGCTCGTGAAATACATTCTGAGAAAATGTACGGCTTCGGGTTAACGTATTTTAAAGGGAAATACCCAGGCTTCGTGACGTGATAGACATTTCTGAGAAAATGTACATCTTGGGTTTAATATAATTATCTCAAAGGGAAATCCCCCGGCTTCGTGACGTAGATGGGCATAGACAAGATTCAAGGGCGTGGAATTAAACTGTGATTAAGGCATATTATGTATGTTTGACTTGATTTTACTGACAAAAAAATATTAAATATACCCCACTTATTATAGTAAATGAATATTAATGGCATGTTCACGCCCGCCACAAGATAAGTCAAAAGTCAAACTATTGATCACAAAGTTTAATTAGGAATCCTTGTAAAATTGTTTTTCCAGCAATACCTGTTTCAGCAATCTTAACAATTCAGTTACTGAACTATGGGCAGGGCAAGCGATAGGGCACTCCCGGCCCTGGGACAAGCAAATGGGCGAGGTGTTGATCGAGTGAGGCGGGGAAGTCTCTCCCCCGGGCTGTAACATTTTGAAAGAAAAGTGGACTGACAGAATCCGATCCTAATCCTACCAATGTCACTAGGTATCCATATTTCTACAAGTCGCCGATTTTACGATCAAGTAGCAGTGTATTATTAATTGTTTTGTTAATTCATAATAAAATTTATAAATAAAAATTACTAGGCCTATCTCCCTGCCCTTCTAGGCTCCGGGGCCCTGGACACGTGTCTCTGTTGCCCCCCCCCCTCCTTGCCTCGTCTCACTTGTAGTGAATATGCGTGATTTTGACACGAGAAGACATAACACATGTTTGTACATAGTCTCGGTCACCCAGAACCTCCTAGTCTTCAACATACGGAGGGTCTGGGAAGGTTGCCAATATTTGACGTAAAGTCCATTGCCCATGCGTAACCGGGAGTTTGGTTTTTAATGTGGTTGATTATCCAGTCTCTTTAGCCAAGTCAAGTAAGAGTTGCGCCCCTTCCCACAATAAATCCCATAATTCTTGCATTAATATAAACAAACATGAATCGTGACGACGAATTAGGATTAATTTTAAAAGCATAGATATGGCCCATGAAGAGAGAAATTTTACAATAAAAAATTAAGAGTCTTAGATATTGAACCATGCAATCAAATGGATTTTTTGAAATGACACTCTTAAATTAATTTTATGGGCGTAAACATCTTGTTTTAAGAGGAGTTACCTCTCTTAGACATTGTTTATGATAATGTGAAAAACCGGATTATCTAGCCAATTTTTC